AACATAGGCGTGGATCACCTCTGTCAAGTTCGGTTACCATACTCTCAGCCAACCGCAAGCACTCTCCCACGTTAGGCTACCATGTTCTCAGCCAACTGCAAGCATTCTCTTCTCTACAGTGATCTCAGCCTTCAATCTACAACTGAATCATCGTAGACGTTAAAACCTCTGTTATGCTGCATTAACTTTTGTTATATATATGCAATTCAATCTAATGTAAAGTGGCATACAATAGTAATACAATTCTACAGATTTCTGTATTGTTCTTTCTCTTGCATTTCTCTGTTACCATTCTATTTTCTCTTCATGGTATCAGAGCCCCTAAGCTTCACAGCTGCTCTCATCTAAGTTCATGGCAGAAATCAGCACTGCAAGAACAGCAGATACCCAGATGGCGGCAACCAATCTCATGGGAGAAAACACCACTCCTTCCTCTCTCAAATTTCTAATGTCAAACATCAAGAACATAATGCATACACAACTCACTAGTGAAAACTATCCCATGTAGCGGCTTCAAATACTCAAACTATTTTCAGCAAATCACTTTGCTGGTTATCTCACAGGAGATCTCTGTTGTCCTCCCAAATTTCTCGCATCCGCTACTGAAACTGTTAAGCCAAATCCAGCATATACAACCTGGCAATTATTAGACCAGAATCTTTCTGCTGCACTATACTCCACAATCTCATATACCATTCTTCCTTACATCCTAAACCTCCAAAGCTGCCATGAAATTTGGATCATCCTTGAGAAGAGAGTACAGCCCACGAATCGATCTAGAGTAATTCAACTTAAAAATGAGTTACACAATGTCACCATGAAAGACTCTTCTATGACCAAATACATGTCTACCATAAAATCCTTAGTTGACAACATCTTAGTAGCAGGTGCTCATCTGGACACCGAGGATATCATCCTCCACATTCTAAATGATTTACCTCCTTCATATAAAGTATTCAAAACAGCCATCAGAACCAAGCTAACCCCCATCAGCCTGGACAACATGTATTCTCTCCTATGCAAAGAGAAAATCAATCTAGCGGCAGAGAACCTGAAGATTTTCCAATCAGATGTAGCCTTTATGGCAACCAGAGGCCGCTCGACGAGATACAACCATGGCCGCTCTACTAACTCGTCTTTTAAGCCTCGACTAGCAAATCCGAACTCCAGACTAACTATCCTCATCATCTGTCAGATTTGCAACAAACATGGTCATGCAACCAGTACATGCTGCCATCGCAGCAACCTCAGCCATACTCCACCACTCTCTAACTCCATTCCGGGACTCTACACACAACAACAACAATCACCTATGTCCACCGACTGGTTCTTGGACTCAGGTGCCTCGGCGCACCTTACGACGGATCTCTCCAACATCCAAAATCCCACTCCTTACACCTGTTCCGACACCGTTACAGTAGGTAATGGGAACAACCTACCTATCACCAACAGTGACAAAGGTCTTCTCCCGACTCCTCATCCTAACCGTAAGCTACAACTTAATCCTCTTCTACATGTTCCCTCCATATCCTACAATCTTCTTTCGCTACATAAGCTAATCTCTAACAATAATTGCTCTGCTCATTTTGATGCTAATGGCTTCCATCTAAAGGATCTCTCGACTAGGCAGATGCTTCTTCGAGTAGTAACGGCCTTTATCCCATTTCAAATTCTATCAACCATAACTTACAATCAGCATTCACGTCTCAGCATCACTCGGACTCTCTCTAGCATGACTGACTAGGCCACCCACATCATTCTGTTCTATACAAGCTTTCCAAATTACTTAATTTTAATTGTCCGAGAGTTTCGTCTACTACTTGTAATGCTTGTAATGTAGCCAAAAGTCATCGACTACCATTTAATTCTAGAGACACTTGTAACTCCAAACCATTATCACTAATACATATAGATGTTTGGGGCCCATCTCCTATTCCCTCTTTAAATGGCTATCTTTACTATGTAATCTTTATAGACGATTATTCCAAATTTTCTTCGATATACCCAATGCAATATAAATCTGAAACAGCAACTCATTCAATCAATTTCATCTCCATGGCGGAAAAACAATTCAATAAATTCATACAAACCATTCGGTCTGATGGTGGGGAGAGTATACCTCTCATTCTCTAGCCAACTTTCTTCGTCAAAAAGGCATTACATATCAATATAGTTGCCCCTACACACCAGAACAGAATGGTGTTGTTGAACGCAAACACAGACATCTAATTGAAACCACCAGGACTCTTCTTCATGCATCACATCTCCCTCTCACCTTCTGGTTTGAAGCACTACTTATCTCTCTATATCTCATAAATAGATTACCCCCCCTAACACCAAACATAAATCACCCTATCAACTACTACACAATCAACTCCCTACCTATGAGTCTATGACCACTTAAAAGTCTTTTGTTGTCTATGTTTTCCCTGGCTAAGGCCTCAAGCACCCCACAAACTAGCACCACGTTCAACACCTTGCCTTTTCCTTGGCTATTCACCCTCTCACAAAGGCTATTGCTGTTTTAACCTCCAAACTCAAAAGATCCACATTTCTCGCTATGTTATGTTTCATGAGTCCACCTTTCTCTTTGTCAACTCCACCACAAAACAACCTCAACCAACTTCCCTACCACCCTTACTGCTAATCCCACTCTCACAATCCACAATTTCACATACTATCAAACCCACACCTGATCCAAATTTACTACCATTTCCCTCAACTCCCTCTTCTAACCGCAACATTACATCCTCTACTTCTCCAATTTCTTCACAAACATCCTCCTCCACCACATGCCCTCCACCACCACCTCTCACTCATACACACCCCATGCTTACACGGGCTCAAACGGGTCACCTCACACCGAAAACAATTTTTACATTAACCACTCAACTTCCCTCCTCCTCAACTCCCAATTGTTACACTCAGGCCTCCAAATTTCCACACTGGCGACAAGCAATGTCAACTGAATTTCTAGCCCTCCAATGCCAAGCTACTTGGTCACTAGTACCACCTCCTATTGATCAACCCATCCTAGGATGCAAATGGACCTACAAAACCAAACTCAAACCTGATGGTTCACTTGAACGATACAAAGCCAAACTTGTTGCGCAAAGCTTCAAGCAACAACATGGTATCAATTATCATGAGACATTCAGCCCTGTAGCAAAAATCACCACCATCCGGGTCCTCCTTGTTGTTGCTTTACACAATCATTGGCCAGTTCGTCAACTCGATGTATCTAATGCATTTCTTCATGGCATCTTGGATGAAACAATATATATGACTCAACCCAAAGGTTTTATTGATCAACGTTATCCCCACTACGTATTTAAATTTCACAAAGTCATATATGGACTCAAACAAGCTCCATGTCAATGGTTTTCTACTTTTTCCACCTTCTTGTTATCCAAAAACTTCTACTTCATCTCATCAGACCCATCTCTTCTCATTTATTCATCCAACAACACCCACGTATTTCTCCTTCTATACGTTGATGATATTCTCATTGCCCGCAACAACACCACTTTCCTATCAAATCTTCTATCAGATTTACAGCAGCAATTCCTTCTTAAAGACCTTGGTAATATTTCCTTATTCCTTTGCATACAAGTTTCCACTAAGCAGATGGTTATATTTTACATCAAACTAAATATGCAACTGATCTTCTTAAGAAATCTGGACTCATGGATTGCAAGCCTGCTGTCACGCCTTTATCGTAAAAACCTACACATGCTGCTCACTCTGATTAGCCTTATGACAATCCAACATTTTATCGTCAAATAGTTGGATCACTACAATATTTAAGAATCACACGTCCAGACATCGCATTCGCTACTAATCAGTTGTGCCAACATATGCATTATCCCCTTCAAAAACACTACCAGCAAATGAAAAGATTACTCAGATATATAAAATGCACAATATATCTTGACTTACCAATTCAACAAGGAGATCTCTCATTACACTCCTACTCGGACTCTTGATTGGGCTTCTGATCCTTCAGACACAAAATCCACTACAGGATTTTGCTCATTTATAGGGAAAACACTCATATCTTGGAGCTTTAAGAAACAACCAACCGTAGCCAGATCGTCGACTGAAGCATAATATAGAGCCTTAGCTACAGCAGCGTCAGACATTGTTTGGCTCCGTAGACTACTTCACAACTTCAACATTCCATCTTCAAATCCCACACCTCTTCACTGTTATAATATTTCAGCCATGTCCGTAGCAAATAATCCTATTTTTCATGCTCGCACGAAGCATATAGAGATTAACTACCATTTTATTTGAGATAGGATCAAATTCAAAGAAATTGAAGTTCATCACATAGATTCCAAAGATCAAATTGCTGATATTTTCACAAAAGCTCTCTCGCCAATCCAGTTCTATCATCTACGAAACAAATTGACTCTCCTATATGTGGATCCTCAATTTGAGGGGAGCTGATAAGCAGTTAAAACATAGGCATGGATCACCTCTGTCAAGTTCGGTTACCATACTCTCAGCCAACCGCAAGCACTCTCCCACGTTAGACTACCATGTTCTCAGCCAACTGCAAGCATTCTCTTATCTACAGTGATCTCAGCCTTCAATCTACAACTGAATCATCATAGACGTTAAAACCTCTGTTATGCTGCATTAACTTTTGTTATATATATGCAATTCAATCTAATGTAAAGTGGCATACAATAGTAATACAATTCTACAGATTTCTGTGTTGTTCTTTCTCTTGCATTTCTCTGTTTCCATTCTATTTTCTCTTCAATTCCTAATTAATATTCTACTAAAAATAACTCACATAGATTCCATCCTGAATTGTTAACACATCAAATTTTACTTGTGTTTTATGCGTTTATCTTCCCTCTACTTTATTTATCCTCAGCAATTTGAATTCTGTCGATTTTAATTCCCAATAAGCTACCAATATTTGTACAGCATATTCCTTTGGCAATTCAATGGAATTAAAAAAGAAGGTTACTTCAAAAAAGGAAAACCTGCTTCACGATCTTCTGAATCAGATCTGTAGTGTTCTTGTTCAGATCAGGATACTTGATATTTGAATCAGGGACAAAACTCATGGGCTTCTGATCTTCAAAGTAGATAAAATTTGTTCCCATTCCGCCTCGGCCGCCATGGACAAATTGGAGATATTGGCAGAAGTAGTTGGGATTTGGCATCTGGATGATAGAAAGAGGGACGAACGGAGGCGCATATGGATTTAACTTGAACTCAGAGACGGTGCTGGAGCTTGGATCTTGTATTTCCTTGAACTTGGTTTGTTCGTCTCCTTCATTCTCTCCTGCCATTGCTTCTATTAACTTCTTTCCTTCTTACTGGAATGTAAGATAGTCTCTGCATTCTGTTCCTTATATATTCACTTTTTTCTCTGTGGTTTTGTAGCAGGAGGGTTTCTTGGAACAGTTATGTTAGTTGGAAGAAGATCCTTCTTTGGCGCCAGAAAAAAGAGGCTTGATTTATGCTTTTATATATGCTTTCAAATTTGACCTGGTCCGAATTGCTTCAATGGTGTTTTGGTCATTTTAAAAGAAATCTTGGATTTGTCGACTGACAGTGAGTGATGACGATGATGGATTTCAGAGAGTGAAGGTGGGCAGTGATGCGTGACGGCCTAATTATGCTTTTTTATGCTTTCAAATTCATGAATTTGAATGTATTTTTAAGATAATTAAATTAAAAAAGAGAAATTTAAATAAAACATAACAAAGCTTTATTAATACTAATTAATATTCTAATAATAATTATTTATTTAATTATTATTTATAATATTTTATAATAATTATTTTTAATTATCTCATTTTTCACTTAAGAATTCTAATACTCATTAATTATTTAACTATTATTTATATTATTAATTATATGTTTAATAATGTATAAGATAATTACATTAATTTCTAATTACTAATTATATTACTAACTATTTTATTAAGTTAAATTAGACAATTAATTTATACACTAATTCTACTATTAATTATTTAATTAATTTACTTAGTTATTAATATTTTAAATTATATTAATTAAGCAAACGAATGAAAGCGCCTAGGGTTTGCTTTTAATCTTCTCTTATTCGTCCATGTTGTTCGGCTTCGTTGCTTCGCAGGAGGTGTTGCGATTGCACGAGTCGCTTGTTGGCTCCTTCGTTGCTTCGCAGGAGGTGTTGAGATTGCACGAGTCGCTTCTTCGGCTCCTTCGTTGCTGTTCGACTTCGCTACTTCGTTGCTGTTAGACTTCGCTCCTTCGACGACGTTCCTTTCCCGTCGGATCGGACGTTACAACATTTTGATCTGAAGCAACGACGGGAGCTCCCTCTCGCTCGCTGTGAAGGTAACTTTCTCCCTTTCGCGCGGTTCTTCGGCCAAATCCCGTAAATCCGACTTCTAGCTGGATTAGGATTTACCAGGATTTAGTGGTTTGCCGGATTTACGTCGACGTTTTTTGCGTTTGGCTGGATTTACCGTAAATCCTGCTTAAAATCCCGGTATAAATCCGATACCAAACACCCCCTTAGCTTTTTACCTTCTCTATTTCGTTCGGCTTCTTTCCTTCAAAGCGTAGAGTTTTGCAGGAGTTCTTTTTCCTCGCTGTTTGGCTTTGCTCCTTCGACGACGTTCCCTTCCTGTTTGATCAGAAGTTAGGACATTTTTTGATCGGAAGCAACAACGGGAGCTCTCTTTCTTTGAAGGTAACTTTGTCCCTTTCTCCGCCGAACCAAAGGATTTCGTAAATCCGGGATTTACCACGAAAAGAGGGAATTTTCCGTCAACCGCGGCTTTGATTTACCGTGAGATTTGGTTTTGCATTTTTTACAGTTTAGCTGGATTTAGCTCAAATCCGTTTCATATCCGGCCTAAATCCTACATCCAAACATCCCCTTCAAATACCCAAGATTCCTCCTTGCCACGTATCTGTCTCTGCTTCTCTCTTCTCATGAAACCATTCTCTGGCTTCTACATCATAATCATCCTTCTCCTCGCTCTTATCTCCGTCTTCTGCCTCCAATCCAACTTCGACGGGCCATGGAAGTCCCCCATCCGCACCTCGGACCTCCTCCCGTCGTTTGTTGGTTTCGTCTCATCTCCGGAGACTAAACCGCGGTGGAAAGGCGCGTGTTTCCACAACAATACTGCGTGGATGGAGTTTCACAATAAGAGCAAGTCAACCTACGGCGGCGGCACTCTCCATATAAAGGTTGATTCTTGATCTGTTCTTTTTTTGTGTGTGTGTGAAGATTTTGGTGGAATTGGGAACTGTATTTCTTATATTTGCCTTTCAACGGGAGATAATTAGGTTTTTGGTAGTATAGTCGTTAAATTAGATTAGTGGGCATTGTTGTTTCAAGTTCCTTTAGCATGTGGGTGCTGAATTATTCGTATCAATGTTATGGGTCTTGTGGAGAATTTCAGTGATGTTATCGGATTCCCTGGTTTGTCTTAACTTCAACATCTAGATAGTACCACTTGGCTTCTGTTATCCTCATTTATTACATTGGTTAGAGTAACAATTCATGTGGAGGGGGTGAAGTACTTTTATGATCAAGTCATCTTGTAGGATTTTGGATATTGTGTGCTGCTGCTTGTATCTCTCTTCTTTTATGAATTTGAATGAAATTTTAAGAAGAAGGCTTCTAATAGGATTAGAAGAAATCAGTTTTACCTGTACAAACATGTGACATATTCAAGCTTGCGGTGCTGCAGGGTTTATATCTATCAAAGGTATTTTAATAAAATAGAATGTTCTTATTTTGCCAAGCATTTGGAGATTTTGAGGAACATATGAACTCCATTTCCTTGTTTCACGCCATTATTTTGCCCCATTCTTAGGTTTCGTGTGGGACGGCTTTCTTATTGCTTTCTAAAGCAGCTTTGTAGTATAAAAAATAAAATTTTTGTACTTAAAAGCTGCTTTAAGAAGCAGAAAGAAAGTCGTCCCAAATGAAGCCTTAATCTTAGATAACACTTGGTAATGTCAGAGGACATTTAGAATTTTCTCTTTAAGAACTTTATATTCCGTTGTACTAACATTGCTCTCTCTCGTTTAGGTAATCCAGATTGGAATATATATATATATATATATATATATATATCTAATCTGAAGTTTTTGTATCTATATTTTCTACATTTATTTATCATCTTGTACAAGTTCTAATGAAGAACAATCAGTTTATTAATGCACTCAATGCACAGTTTTCCAATCCAAAATTTCAAATATTCATAAGATACCCCAACATTCTCTTTTCATTATTTGACTAGGTCACGAATGCTCATAGCTGGACTTGTATGGATCCTTATGTTTTTGCAACTCCATACCGCGTGACATGGGATTATTACTTATTGTCTCGAGAGCATACCCTTGAGTTTGATGAGTGGGAGACTGCAGAAGAGTATGAATATGTAAGTTGCCACTACAATCTATAAATTCAACTCTATGAGGAGAAGGTTTTTGCTTTATTTAGATGCTCAAATAACATTCTTATTTCATCTTTGGTGTATCTTCACTGTTTTGTGGTGTTAGGTGAAACATCATGGGGTGCCAATCTTCCTTATGCAATCAGGGATGTTAGGAGCTCTCAGTGCTTTGTGGGATGTTTTCTCTTTGTTTACAAATATTGGATGGAGAGAGAACTCAAATATTGCTTTTCTCAGGAAGCATATGGATGCAAAATTCGAGGAATGGCCAAAACCGTGGTTATCAAACATCAATGTTGATGACAAGGTTGGTTCCATATATTAGCACTAGAAATTAACATTTTTCTTGGTTCATATTGCAATGAATTTGCCAATCCTAAATGGTTGGGATGTGGTTAATGATGATAATAATGATAATGATAATGCAGTGGATTCTCTATTGTAATGTATGTTCCTAATTGTTTTTGTTATGTTGATTGTCTTTTAATGGCACGCATCGTACTGACAACAATATTTCAGTTGTTAAATAGTTCAATCTATTTTAGATTGAACAATATCTTGCCAACTGTTACAAAGAGTTGTATATTTGAACGGCTATATGCCATTTTAGTGGAAGATTAGGAGTTGACAGTAAGAGGGTTCACACAGCATCACTGAAAAGTTTGAAAAATGGTTTATGTTGTCTCTCATCACGTTAATGATATCTAATACAAAGAAAGGTGTGCAGTTTGGATTGCATCTTCAGGTAATCAATAGAGCATTTGATAGTACTTCTTCAAAAATATTTTGCTATTTTTTGCAGTTGTGCCTTTCCATTTATGTTTTATATATGCATAAATATAATTTCTTGTGTTGCTTTTATCCTGGAGATGTACAAATCTGCTAGGCTTTTCGATCCTATTGCCAGCTCCATACAAGTCAATGAGTTCACGGTGAGTTAATCAACCTATATCTATCATATAAACTCAAGACAAACATATATATATATATATATATACTTTGTGGAATTTGATTGTGTCGATCAATCAGCTTGGTGCTGTTGTCTTGAGCCTCAACATATGTAATGCTCGCTGCGGGGTGCGGGGTTTTCTCCCCTGCGAGCACGACAAATGTTGTGGCCCTAGGCAACAACAAAAATCCGATTGATCGACACATTCATATTTCACAAAGAATAACAAAATTACCACTTCTCTCTCTAAGTCATATATGAGTCGAATCAAGAGTTTTCAATTTTCATAGAATAAAGAATCGAATTTCTTTTTGTAGTAACTCATCAATTAAGTTATGATAACTTTCATTGTGCCGAATTATGCATCTTGGTTTGTTTTATATTTGAAAATAGACTTGGAATCTGTGATTTGAGACTTGCATTTTGATAATGTCTTCTTCATTCACCTATGGGCTATAGCTATTTTTCTCACACTAGTCTTGCCTGACTACTAGAAAGGACAACTTTGACAATTTACTTAACTATTAAAGATGCTATGTTTGGTGCAATCTTGTGTTTAGATTGATTATGTCTTTTCATTCACAAAGTTCATAATCTGTTGGCTCTGTATTGACAGAAATGTAGCTATCCAAATATCAATGGCTGTCGCACTTGTTCACAAGATAATTTGATGAGGTCTTTCTTTAATAGCCATGGACAGCTATCTGAACCAAATTTTAGTAAATTTTTAGATAAAGAAATTTGCTCAGGAGATTTGTGTGAAGAGATGCTTGTCAATGCAGATATTTTTGGACTTTCATCCCTCCTACGTGAGCTCATAGGTGAAGGTTCCCATAGACAATTAGTTACCACAATGGAATTATACCATCATCCAAAGTTTACTCATTTTGTTAATGAGCATTTTTGCGAGGCAATTGTTATTGAGTATCTTCCTACTGGGGTCTTTTCTGATCCCTTTGAGCTGCAACGGCTTGTCGATCGTGAAGGTTAGAACCTTGTTTTGTCATCTTGAAGCATATCCTATTGTGTAAATGTGAACTTCTTTTGATTTTTGCAGTGTTTTTAAGTGCTTCTGTTTTTGGGGACACAAACCTGGAATTGCCTTCTGCTCTTTCCAATATATCAGTAGTAGAGATTCACATTAATGTCAAGAGTGATGCCCAAAAAATTGTTGTTCAACTGCCTCTTCATTCTAGATATCCGGTGAGTTTGAAATTTATATCAATATTATCCTTACTTTGTCTTGAAATTTTAATAAAATCATGTCTACTAAGAGCATCTCCAACCGAACGCATGTTCGGTTGCTCGGTTGCTCCAGCCGAACGCCAAATCTTCTGATATTTGCTTGCGTGTGAACAGTGCGATTGGCGTCGCACTGTTCACCTAGGCGATTTTTCTGTCTCAACCGGATTTGCCGAATAAACGCGCGAAAAAGGAAAAAGACGGTTACCTTCACATAAGCGCTCAAAATGAAGTTCGATTGGAGATAAATCACAACATTTTTGAGTTTCACTGCATTTTGGAGTGAAAAATGAGATTTTTGGTTGGAGATGCTCTAACACTGACGTTTACTTGCAATAATACTCTAACTCAAAATATATATTTTTGATGCCTTTTATATCAAACTCTACCCTCATTTTTTTCTCAGCCTCTTAATTCAAGTGATTACATAAGCCTAACAATAGGCAAACCACATTTGTTCATACGTTGCAAGCCAAAAATCTCTGGAACTGCAGCCTGTTCATGGACTGTAATTGATTTGGGTGTCTTGTATGGAAACAATGTGACATGGAGAATTCCCTGTGGAGATGCAGTGCACACAAGGGCTGTAACTATTATAACTTTTCTATCATCTATTTTGTGTTCTCTTTTTATTGTGTTGTCAATCATGTATCATTCCAAGAAGGACAAAAGCAAAATGGAATAGCCATAATTTAGCACATATCTTTCTTTATGTTCTGTTAGGTGTTTATAACTCTCTTGATTTGGTTGGTGAAATCATGATTTTGAATCTTTTAACAATGTTGGATGGGATGAGATTTTTGTTCAAAATGGTACTATGGGTGAAGATTAATTATTCTGTGCGGTCACCGGATGCCGTCCGGAGGCAAATCAGAGCATGCAACGTCACCTCCTTGTTGTGTATCGCGGCTTTGTACCCACTATGTATCGGGTGATATGATGCGCTCTTATTTGCCTCCAAACACAGAACTACGTCCGGTGTTTGCATAGAATAATTTCTCATGAGTGAAAGGATAGGTTGAAGGAAAATATTTTTTTTAATGTCAAAATTTAAGCAATATGCTTAGTGATTTATCCGTTATCATTTTAATATATATATAAACACACTAGTGCCAAGTAAAAAAGCTATGGAATCTTAACCCATTAGTAATAATATTTTTTATTTTTGTTATCATTGGGATAGGAAATGATTGGTCAGGTTCATTTTCTAAAGCTTCAAAATAGGCGGCTTCATGTTTACAGTTGATTTTTTTTATAAATATTTTAGAAGTGAAGGCTTTGAGTTGAGCACAAGCTGATTTTAAATAAATAAAAATAAAAAAATAATGAATCAAATATATTAAAATCATTCTTCTTATCTACTAATTAAGTTTTTTTAAAAAAAATCTGAAAGACTATTAAATATTTATATATTTCAATCTAATAACCACCCAAATAAGATCTTATTTTTGTTAGGCTAGTTAAGAAAAAGAAAAAAAGAAGAAAAAAAAAAACCCGAGCAATACAAATAGCTTATTAAACAAATGAATCTAATATAAATGTTTTAGCGAGTCGATTTAATTATTTTCCAACAAATCTAGGCTTTATAATAATTGTACTGATGGAATACAGGTGAGGATATTTGGTTTGGATTGGGCTTATAGTCATTAAACTTTGAAATAATTATCATATATGGCTCATCAAAAAATAAACTTAATGATATATAAACTGTTAGCAATTATTAATCAAGAGCATTATTTTATTTATTATATTTGTTGCTTTCATTGTATGTATTTATTGTTATAACCTCATTATATTATGTTTGATTAAATGATTATTTGAATCGGAAAGAATTTAATAAAAAAAATTCTATAACATAAAAAAAATTATACACTCAATTCATTTCTCTATTGAGTTTTTTTACTCAATAAAAAATTATTGCTTCTATCAAATTAACACTACAATGCTTATATAAGAAATCATCTTTATCAAAGAATATGATATTTTCTCTTCTTTAACCATGGCCTTGCATTTACCTATAAAAATTGTACTTCAATCCACCAAAAACTTAGCCAATGTTGCTGTATCGGTTTGCTTCATTGCTGATCAAAATTTGTGCAGTGTTTTGTTTCTTCTTTGAGCTTCGGAATTTGAATGAGAATATTAGGACATGAACACACATCGCCAGTTATGGACAAAGCCTCACACAAGGACTCGGCGAGGAGAAGGGGATGAAGTTTAAGACCAAGTCTAGGTGGTTGGTAAAAGATTGACTTATTCGAGTGTCATGCATTGCAGATCAGATGGGTATACTATTCTCTCATGCAACTGATGTGAGGATCAACTCTAGTACTCCATTTCTGAGTAAGGATCCTTTGAAGATACATTTTTTATCTCTTCAATGTTCTGGGTGTTTCCCAATTCCTCAAGCTCTACCACTGTTTGATCATTCTCTGCTACTTTTATTTTCAATGTCACCACCATCAACTCGTCATTTATAGGACAAATTATTAAATGCGGACATCGGATGGAGAGAACCGTTTGATTTTCTCTGTCTACAGTAAAAACACAGTTGCAGAAGACGTTTTTCTCGGTTGCACCTAATAATTTGCAGAACATCTTAAATTTTATTTTATTTTTTATACATGTCCAAACTTCAACTAATCCACTTTTAATTACTTGACCTTTATCATTGTCGAGTTAATTTAACAGAGATTCCAGTCCTCCACTTTTCATAGCCGTGACTGCAGATTTCTCCATATCCAATTCCTTAACAATTCCAAATCCTCTTCCAGCAGATCGCAGAAGCAAGCTTAGCAATGCCGAATGCCTGGAAGAAGGAGAAGGCATCCCCTCTTCCCCTCTCCTTTCGAGGTATCTTCCTACTCCTCGTCCTTCTCTTCTTCCTTCTCATCCTCATCTTTTTCCGACCACTCTTCTCCCAAAACCCTAACCGTAACCCCATCTCCCTTCACTTCCAAATCCCAACCCTAAACCTTCCCCATGGCCTCCCTCTTCTCCCCTTCGACTGTGCGGCCTCTCCCCAAGCCTCCCCTGTCTTCGCTGCACGCGTTGAGGGTCTTCATTACCCTTTCCTCTACTCCCTCGCCGATTTCGGATCTCTCCCCGAAAAACCCCACAAAAACATTGTTCGTATGATGAAAGGCAAGCCTTTTCGCCGCCCGGAGATCTCCTCTACTATCCAGGAGTTCCTCCATGGGTCTAAGCCCACCGATGGGATTGTAATTGATGTTGGAGCTAACGTCGGGATGGCGACATTTGCCGCCGCCGCCATGGGATTTAGGGTGGTGGCGTTTGAGCCGGTTTTTGAGAACCTGCAGCGGATCTGCGATGGGGTATTTTTGAATAGAGTTTGGGATCGGGTGGTGATCTTTGAGGCAGCTGCTTCAGATCGACTCGGGAACATCACGTTGCATAAGGTATGATCGTTTTTAAGATTTATTGGTATTGTTTTGATATTTGGGTGATTTAGGATCTGCAAATGACATTTGTGAGGTGGATATGGATTGGATGTATGTTATCTCACATTGATGTCACTGGGGTTGAGTTTCCGATAGATTTGTGTTGTAATCGTTCATGTATGGAAAGTAGTTTTTAGAAATTCATAAAGGGCTCTTTTGATTGATTGAAGTTAGACAGCATGTTTCCATAAATTATGGAATTGTTAAATCTTTGGATGTTATTAAAAATCAATGTTGATTTCAAACTCGATAAAGCTTCTCAAAACTTCTTCAAGTGTGATAATTTCATTTTTCATGTTAGTGAAAAATAAATCATCAATTTTCTTAAACATTTTTCTAGTTACAACAACCAATTGGGCCCTTAGAAAAAAAGTAAAAGAGAAGTGTTATTGAGAGTTCTAAAAAAGAAAGGGATTAATAATGCGTATATTCAAGTCATTAGGAACATGTATGTTGGAGTTGTTACTTGTGTTCAAATACAAGGTTGTTTGACCAAGCATTTTCCAATTTCAGTTGGATTACATCAAGGATCAGCTCTAAGCCCATATCTTTTTGCTTTAGTCATGGATGTTCTTACTAGACATCTGCAAGAGGATGTTTCCTAGTGTATGCTTTTTGTTGACGATATACTTCTTGTTGATAAGACTAAAGAGGGAGTTGAAGTTAAACTTAAATTATGGAGGTCAACCTTAGAGTCTAAAGGTTTTCGTTTGAATATTGTGGTTTGGTGTTATCCTCTATGTGATACACTGATTGAGAGCTATAAGGAGATCATTATTGTGCTGATGGTCAAAGAGTGACGACTCTATTTACTGAGCCAACGTGATGTAAAACGTACATGCGAAGATGAATTACTTTAAGGACATTTGCACGCTTAATATTTAGAGCACAATAATTATAAGCTTTATATTGGTTTTAAACGACAAAAGAAAACACAATGAGCGGTAAGACAAACTTAGGTTGAATCATACGCGTAAGAGTTAAGATCATAAAACAATCAAGTCAATCTAATGTTGCATACATGAATGATTTCAACAATAAATCCCTACACTAACAATAAAACTAGTCACTACAAGGAGATCCCTCACTCAACTTATCTAGTTAAAAGGGTTTAGCGGAAAGAGTGACGAGAATCTTCATGAATCATTTATAAACCACAATTGAAAAGTGACTAAGAGATTTAAGGATTTGGAGGAGAGTTTACCCAAATAATCAGAGAATACGAAGCTTCCAATTTGATCACCAAGGCACTGGATGAAGAGCAATCAGCAACGTCAAGGCTTCGACACAGTTAGGAAGGTGATCATTGACTTCTTGGACAGCAGGGCAACAAAAATATGGCCGGCCAGCAACTGGAGACGTGTAGGCAACAACATGTGTTGGTTGAGAAACCCTTTTGGCCTTAAGAATACTTCCAACAGCAGTCCGAACAGCAACTAATGAGATGGGACAACAGTTCCCATCAGAGGAGTCTTAGGCAGCAATACGGGCCTACCGGCGAAGCAGAGCAGCAGATTATGCTGCTGTAATTCCAAGTAGCATCCAGGAATCGGAATCCCCTACAGGGAAGGTAGCACCTTCGACACAGTTAGGAAGGTGATCATTGACTTCTTGGACAGCAGGGCAACAAAAATATGGCCACCAAATTGATTGGCCAGCAACTGACGTGTAGGCAACAACATGTGTTTGTTGAGAAGCCCTTTTGGCCTTCAGAATATTTCCAACAGCAGTCCAAACAGCAACTAATGAGATGGGACAACAGTTTGACCCGTCAGAGGAGTCTTATGCAGCAATACGGTCCTACTGGCGAAGCAAAGCAACAGATTATGCTGCTGTAATTCCAAGTAGCATCCAGGAATCGGAATCCCCTACAGGGAAGAGACGTAGGGGGGGGGGGGGGGGGGGGGGGGGGGGGGGGGGGGGGGATTCCTGGGAAGGGGACGGCTATGACTGCAGGGAAACGAAGTATTTCCATCCCAGAACTCTCCGTCAGGGCTGATTGGAATAAGTCAAATCCAATATGAATTGATTGGATTCAACTAAGGAGTTGATTGGGATGTCATTATGGGAAAGAAATAAAGAAGAAAAGAGGAGGGGTTTAATTCAAAACAGAAATTGATTTTAGATTTTGAGTAATTTTGGAGGGAAATAATTTGAAATTTGATTTCAAATTAATAGGCAATTAATGCATTGATTGGGGATTAATGGGGGAAGGCCATACATGTGGCCGGCGGCATGTATGGGGGGGAGGGAGAGGGGTGAGGATTTAAAAGCTTCTTTATTTAGCTTTCAAAATAAAGAAAAGGATAATTAAATCCGATTCAATTTAAAATTAAATTGAATGAGATTTAAAACTTTCTAAAAATGGCTTCGACAAATTACGAAAGAATTTGAAATTTCAAAATTTTGAATTTCAAATTGAGGAGTTCTCTTCCTAAATCAAGGGAGGTTATTTAGGTAGGTGATGATGATGACATTAACCATCATTAATGGTAGATGGGCACTAGGGCTGGCGGCATGATGGTGGGGTTTGGGAGAATTCGGTTGGGGAAGGATGAGGTGAAGCCGGCGGTGGAGCTTGAGGAGGGAATTGGATGGTGGAGGTTAAGCACTTGGTGGTGGAGGAGTAGGAAGGGGTGGTGGATGGAGAGGGGGAGAAAGGATATAAAAAAAAAACAAAAAAGAAAAAAAAACAAATAAGGTAAAAGTAAACTAACGAACTCACAAAGAGATCGTAAGAACCGCAAACCTTGGACTCTTCCAAAAATTGGCGGGTATTGCAAATCACCCTCCTCGGACTTCTCCACTCATGCACTTACTAAGAGATCAACATGAACTCACTAAGAGATCAACAAGAACATAAAATTTTCATTCTCAATATAATTCATCATCCAAAATACAAAACAACTAGCCTATAAATAGGCCTTATGACAAGAAAATAAATAAAAGACTAAAATGCCCTTCGGGCTACAACACTACAAGACCACCCGTAAGGGTATAACATGAAAAACAACAATATAAAATAAATTAGTACATAAAACATATAAATAAATAACTCGAGATCGTAGTCGTTGATCTCCGATGTCCTCATCACAACGGTTTACTGACATTGATACTAACACTGAAAAATACCGTGATAGTCATGACTTCTACTTGTTTCATGTGACTATATCACTTTCTCATGAGCTAATGATTTGCTTCGTCTATGTAGGATTGTGAGGAGACCATACACGAGGAAAAGCCTGTTGTCTAGTTTTAATCAGCATTTTCAATTTTCCTATTTTGCTAATATCATAAGCGATTCATTTGTTCCGCTCTTTTTGAAATATGCAAGCCTGGAACTCAAATTGTGCTAGAAGATTCAACACTTTCCATACAATAAATTTAGTGTAGACAATATTTTTCTCAGTAAAGTTAAAATGAAATAACACATTCATAGAACCATTTTCTTAACTATTTGGGGTCGGTTGTATGGATTTTCATTTTTTCATTCATTTGTTTTAAGTATTACATGAGGTGCTAAATATATTCTTCAGAAATCATGTTGAATAACTTCCATCTATTTTACTCTACGTCAATTCGGTCACTTTAATATTTCAACATTAATTTATCTTCTTATTTGATTGGTCTTTTCAATCCTTTGTTATGCATGTTTGAACATCTAAGTTTATTTTCAATTAACTTATCTTCAATATATATAACTCCATACATTCCTTTAATAGAAACATTCCTTAATTTTTTCTTCTTTGTTTTACAACAACCACATCTATCTTATCATTCTCATTTTCATTTTCGCTATGTGAACTTGAATATTGAAGAATTTTTACCACCCAACAGTTGGCTTCATATGATGGTTTTATATAAGTTATCTCTAAGTTTTCATGTTATTCTTTTATCAACATAATACTCTTGAGACACTTCTTTATTTTAGTCATTCAATATTAACTGTAGAAGTTCTATCATTATATTTTCATATATACATCTTCATTTTCTATATAATAGATCTAAGAGACTTAAATGAATCACAAATATTACTTTATCTTAGATAAAAATATTGATTGATAATTGTTAATAATACATCCATTAATTGCATATAATTATTTCAGTATTTGTTATATTAATTTAATTTTTTTTTATCTTCTATTTTTTTAATTTAATTTAATTTTTCATTTATTTCAATGAATTTCTCAATGATTAGAACTATATTGTTTACAAAAATTATATAGGACACCTCATTCATTATATTATTCGCAAGCATGTCTAAAATAAATATCAGAAGATAAAAATTCAATGTTGATCATTGATTTGATATCATTACAATTTATATGTTTTGTATAATCTCAATGTTCTATTTGAAGCTGTTACATTTTGTATGAGATACGCTTCTTAATTCATATGTTTTGTCTATTTCTCATTATCATTGTAAGTACTAAGTATATTTTAGGCTTTGTTTGGGACGATTTTTTTTCTGCTTCTTAAAATAGCTTTTTAGTACAATAATTAATTTTTTTGTACTTGAAAGCTACTTTAAGAAGCAATAGGAAAGCCGTCCCAAACGAATCCTTAATATTGGCGATAAAATGAACTTCTTATGTTTCAAGTAGCTGTTAGCCCATCACATCCATGCTACTACTTGATTTATCGCCAATTAGGCTTTAACCTTGAGTTTTGTTTTGCGTATTTCAATTGTTAATGCTCGCTAAGCTAACTACTACTTCACATTACATGATAAGCAGCTGGTTGGCCGCCTAGACAACAGCGCCATATCTGCAACTGGTGCTAAATTAGCCTTCAAGTCCAACAAAGAAATTGCTATAGAAGTCAAGACGATTCCATTAGATTTAGTTATTCCTGATAATGAGAAAGTTCTACTGATCAAAATTGATGTTCAAGGCTGGGAGCTCCATGTACTTGAAGGAGCTATCAAGTTACTATCAAGAACAAAAGGAGAAGCTCCATATCTCATATATGAGGAAGATGAGCGGTTGCTAGCGGCAAGTAACAGCAGCCGAAAGGAGATAAGGGAATTCCTTCGTTCTGTGGGCTATGATCACTGTACACAGCATGGAACAGATGCTCATTGCACCAAAAACTAGGATTAAAATCCAAAGGCTGCGTTGTGGATGCTGCGAATATGAATGGGAGGAAATGAAATAAAGATTGTAGATTTATTATCAATCAACAAAATATTATTGAAGTTTTATTTCATTTCCTTCACCTTTCCTCAATCCAACCAAAGCTGTGCTGATTACAAGTTTTTCTGAAGTTTCTTGGTATGGCTGCAGTTGCTGGTGATGTTAATAGAAGCTTCGTTTGGGACGGTTTTCTTACTGCTTCATAAAGAAACTTTGTAGTACAAAAACTTTAATTTTTTATTAAAAAATAGTTTTAAGAAGCAGTAAGAAAGCCGTCGCAAACGAAGCCAGAATGGCGCCTGTATTTATATGATGATAATAGTAGGCAACATATCTGCAACTGTTAGAGGTTTTGTGTAACATTGAATAGCAACGAGCAATCAACTTGATTTTGGATGACAAAATCCATCAAATGTTGAGCAGTGGCATTCATTGTATAGTTTATGTGATTATTGTCTTTGTTTTCTTTCAGCTGTTTGGATTCCCGTGTTTGTTCCACTCGAAAAGTTATTCTTTGTAGAGGCCGAATGCAACTCTACGTCTTGATAAATGATTTTCATTGATAATTGAAATGGTCTTTAGAGAGGACACAAATTTGTAGATGTAAAAAAAAAATTACTTTAAGGTAGAGATAAAACTCATCAAGTCACAATAATTCAACAAGTGACAAAATGATTGACATCAAGTAGAAAATAAGTTTGAAGGTGGATATTTCATATGACTCCTCATCAAAAAGGAGTGATGGAAGAGAAGAGCAGAGAGGGGCAAAAAGACTAGACAATTTTTTTATGGATAATTCAATATTCTTAAGAAGTTTAGAGGCCATGTATTGTAGATATGCCCTCTTATATAATATCTACCTTGTGTTGAATGTGCAAAATATGAAGTCATTAGAACCTTTCTTTGGTGTAGGATGATGAGATGAAAGAAATCCTACCCCTCCTAATGCCCTATTTCCAAGCCCAAATGATCATATGAAAGATGACCAACTTTTAAGGAAGATAACCAAAATTAATTGTTGTGATACCATTTTATCAAATAGACAAGAAGGGACAAGAGACCTTCAAGATAAACTGGTATATACTTAGGAGAGACTAGTTGAGCTGTTACCTCTCTTATAGATTGATTTATAGGAGTGAATCACCTCTTAAAGAGAGGGTGTATGATTTGGAGCTTAGCTGACTTAATGATACAGGAAAAGCTAAGAAGATTTGAAAACCTAGAATAAGAATCCTAAGAGGTAGGATTTCTAAGTTATTGAGAGGAACTGGAGAAGATTTGACCCATTTTCGAGTGAAATCTATCAATTTAAGAGGAACTCAATATTTATATCGAGAAAATACCTTAGAGACAAATTATTTCATAATCTAGAAGTGTTTTTGAGCAATTATATTGTTGTCATGATATCAGTAACCTACAAAATCAATATTAAAATTCATTTTAGTTCTGCATATTTGTAATATTGATTTACTTTTGCTAATTTCACACTAAAGGTAAAGCCAATTTTGTAATTATGCTTTCATGCATTCCTATTATATTCAATTAATATTAACTTTCTATATGAAAGATTATCACGACAGGTTTGAAATTCAAATTAAGATATATGAGAGATTAGGCATCGAAAAGGGTTTTTATCCTAAAAAGAGACTCATCAAATCAAAAGGTTGGAGAGAGATTATCCTTATAATTTTGCCTAATTCTAATATTAATAACTTGAATAGTTCTTACTCAAGAATTATGAATTTAGATTAACAACCTCACTATGCGCTCACTATGCGCCTTCTTATTAGACATGTTAAAGTGGTCTCTTTATGATCTCTTCATGGTGTATTGTTGATAATAGGTTATCCCTTTTCTTAGGACACTTTCTGATTGATCCCATTTAATCTACATAAATCTTTGATGTCACAAACTACTCTTGATTCTAGGTGGGTATCCCTTTCACTAGCCCCTAGAGTTGGGAAAGGTAACATTATGTTTGATCATAGTTCTTGACTCATAACCATTTCTTCGATCATCTTTTTAGCACTCAATTTCCAAAAAGGTTGATGATGGTTATGCCTAGTAGGCATTAAGAGAACTTGTTGAATCATTTGCTAAGTGCTTCATTCAGGAACCTAAAAACTTTGTCATCATCATCACATCAAAAGAGTCCACCCTCATCAACTACAACATTAAGACTTATTTTTCCTCTATATCACTATAGGGTAGGCACAATGGTCTCTTTATTTTTATTTTTTACTTATGTCATTTCTTCTTACATTCATGCTGCCTCTAATACAGTGGTCACTACAATTACCATGACACATCATCGCCTTATCATAACAATAACCACCACTTCCATCATGACAACCACCACTTTTTTTCCCTCAATCCTCCACTTTTTTCTTATAAATATTATAACTTCAAATTCACTTACTTCTCACTCTTCAACCATTTCTTTGCAACAAATAAAAGAATAAAGAAGATTCAAATATGCAATTAAGAGAAAGAAGCGCACACAAATGAATTTAAATCTACACAAAAAATTGATTATTATTAATTAGGCATTCAAGGACTTACTAAATAATATCAAGGATTCATTCTGTATTCCTTGCCTAAGCCATCCATATTTAAATACATTTGATTTCAGGTTTCATTAACTTGGTAGCCATAACCAATCAGATCAAAATATGGCCTAATAAGGGTTAGCCCAATATAGATCAATCTTGCTTATTAAATCCTAGCTAGCTCCAATTTTTCTTAACACTTAGAGGTTTGATGGGACTTACTAGATAACATCAAAGATTCACCTATTTTTATCATGCCACAATTAGGCTAAATCATCTAGTAGCTATTGACAGGATCAACTCTAGCATGTATGCCTAGAATACTTCTTCATCTTGATTGGATTCATTCCTTGAATTCTAATAATCTTTTATTTTTGGCCCAAGTGTGTCTCACATGTCAAGCTAGAATGTCATAAAATTCTCCTTCTTAGTCTTCTTAAAGGTTCTTTAAACAAGTTACACTTGACATAGATGAACTCAAGATGTATTAATCTACTAGATTATAGCCTAAGAGAATGACAACGAGGAGATTAAAAGATTTTAGCCTTTTCTTTCTAAAATTGTAAAATATTCATATTATCTCTTAAAGCATGCATTCTCCGTAGTGTCAAACCACTTAAAAGATTAAGCATTCTTCCCTCATTTGCTCAAAAAAATATTATGTTTAGAGGTCAGATGCATCTCTACATTCAGAGGCGAATCAGGTGTAGCCACATCAGAGGTATTGAGCCGCGGTACCGAGTAGTACCAAGCTACGATACCGAGAGAAGGGATATTGTGGCTCATTTTGGTTGGTCTATGTAAGGCGTTAGGCGTCCGCACATCATAATTTTTCCCTTTGCTCTCTCTATTTACCTCTGGATAATCAAACTCACCATCAAAAAGTAAAACCATTCATAATGCTTGCCTCTTCCTTAGTAAAGTATTCAAAGCTAGGAGCATGACTAATATTTTATTAGATAAATTAATCACATCTAAAGTATAAGAAGTGGATAAACATACACAAATCCACACATATATAAAAGAGAAAGAAAAAGAGATGAAGAGAGATATAAAAAAGATAGACTTAAAAAAGATTCTAAAAAGAGAGAAATAAGTAAATAACTCCTAGAAAGATGACAAATTCTTTTTTGTGATATTTTAAAATTTTTAATACAAATATTTAAAATATAATATAAAAATATACATAAAAGAGTATTAATAAATATAACTCTGTAATTTCATTTAAAATTTATGAAAAAATAGAAAAACATAGCAAAACAATTTCATTTGATTCATTTGTTTTAGCAAAATAATAATAATAATAATAATAATAATAATAACTATTTTAACTGGAAACTAATATTTTTACAGAAACGCCCCTTATCCTCGCACTATCAACTCGTCACCATCCACGACGGCCTCCCCCTTCTGAATCCGATCTCCCACTCTCTGAATCCAGAATCGAAAATGGCATCGATTCCTTGCACTATCCACAACCATATCTCATTCTCTTCTTCGTGTGCTCGCTCTTCCCAGGCATTACGTTCGCCGTTCTTGGCTTTCACAAAGAGACTCGGGTGGCGGAGAGATTCGCGGTTAATGAAGAGAGCAGATTTAGCAGGCGGAGGCGGCGGAGCTCGGTGTTGGTTTAAGTTTGGGAACCGCGGCGTCGACGCCGAGGGCGCTGGGATCTATGGCAGCCAATCTCGGGACGATTTCGACCGGGATGATGTGGAGCAGGTATTTACGATAAAAAATACTTAGTTGCTGCTCTCTGATTTATCTTCTAGGGTTTATTTTTTTATGTCAATTTCATTAATCGATTCATCTCATTTTTTCAATCTTGCATGAAACCTATTTCTTGAAAATAATTGTAATTTTTTTTCTTCATGTTCTGCAGTATTTCAACTACATGGGGATGCTTGCTGTAGAAGGTTCATATGATAAAATGGAGGCTCTTTTGAATCTGAAAATTCATCCTGTCGACATCCTTCTGATGCTGGCAGCCTCTGAGGGCGATAAGCCAAAAATAGAGGAACTTCTAAGGGCAGGTGCGAAATTCGATATCAAAGATGTTGATGGTAGAACTGCATTGGATAGGGCTAATGATGAGATCAAGCAATTCATTCTTGGCTTCTCTGTGCAGAAAGCCGCCTAACTGAATTTAACACAGATTTAACACCTGTTGTGGGTTTTACATATATGCACCTTTTATACATTTGAACAACTAGTTAAATCTTTGTAATGTTGAGCATGCAGGAGATGCTACCGCAATCTTTATTTTTTCTTGATAAAAACTGCAATCTGCTTGAGATTTTTTATTAATTTTTTGTTTACCTGTCAGGCTTTTTTCACTTTAGCTTTTCAAAACTGGATGTCGAATTTTCCAAGTGCCTCTATAGTACAGATAAGATATTCTCCAACCGAACTGCATACCACCGTATGCAGTCGGCCATTCGGTCCATTCGAACTCCAAATCTCACGCTAAAGTTCAGCAGGTGAATAGTACGACGCTCTGTTCGGGCTATGAGATTTGCCGAAGAAGAGTGTGAAAGAGGAGTAAAGTGCGGGAAAGAGTAGAAAATGATTTCCTTCGCAGGAAGCACGCGAAAGAAGAGAGAAAATGCCGTTCAATTGGAGATGAATTACTGCATTTTGAAGTTTTGCTGTATTTTGGAGAGGAAAATGGGTTTTTCGGTTGGAGATGCCCTAATCTAAGTCCAAGAAAAAACAACTAATGAATTAGTAGGATCATATTTTCCAAGTGCCTCTATAGTATAAATAACCTATATATATAGATGCATGTCTCAACTTGTTCCTTTTTTATTATAACAAGAAAGAAGCAATTAATTACAACCATGGAAAGCGAAAAAAAAAAAAAATCTGACCAGCTGAAAGAAACTATGTTAGCTGCTATCAAGTGGCCTTGTAAAATGTCTTCATCCAAGATTCATATATATATATATGAATCGGACATCTGTCTAAAACATCTCTATGCAGAACTCACTGCATTTCTTTTCTCATCAACTGAATGAGCATATCAAACTAGTAGACTCTGGACCTTTTACCTCTATATAATCTTATTTTTCTTGTTCTATATGATAGTCTACCATTTGTTATGAATTTCTGTCTAGTTTATATTTCTCTTTTTCCAATACCCAACCTAACCTTAGTGCAAAAGAATAGAAAGTTTAAAAGCTGAAAGTGGAAGTAGAGTCATTCAAATTGTACAATGTCATTTTCTTAACATAAGCATCTATAAAAGACATGGGAACGCACAAAATCCCTTTAACAAATGGCCTATATCTCTGAAAAATTACATAAATGTAACATGCCAATATCCATAGAGCTGAGAAACCTGCCTTTGAGGTTTGAAGCCGCATATCTTTGTGACTGTAAATGCTAAATGAAAAGGCAAGAAAATGGTAACTTCAAACAATCATATTGAAAACCAGTATTTTGTCTAGTCAATGGCTATGGCTTTTCTTTTTCAACCTCCTAAGGATGTGAATACATATACTTGGTCTTATACTACACTATCGACTGTGATTTGTTCGCCAGGTTCAAACTGATCCACTATTTTTTTTAGAGCTTATGCAAGAACTGGTACCTTGCATTATTTACATATCCTTGAGAGATAATACAAACCTATAATAGCCCCTATTTCAGACCAAACCAATTCAGCCCAACCAACCTGCCTGATTTAGCTCCTACCGCCTTATGTAGATCCTTTTTAAATCCAAAATTGGGTTTGTTTAGAACTTGATTGAAAGAGCGAGCAAGTGGAACATATCGAGAGGGTCAAGGCTAGTGGCCAAGGCGACGAGGCGAATAACAGGACTCAAGGTTATGCTAGAGATCATCTATTACGGCACGCATTGTTCGGGCAGTACAAGGAAGAGGAGATTTTGACTTTAGCATATTCGATGAGGCCAATGGAGAGGATATCGAGGGAGGGGAAGAAGGGAGCGATGACATCTTCCTCCTCTTATGTTTGGAGAACTAGGTAAACCCTAAATCCTAGAAACTTGTTGTACCTACTTATGTATGAATATAAATTAACCTAAAAGTTTGATCATCTAAGATTTCTATTGGTCATTTGCGAATAAATTAATACGTCTATTGTTAATATTGACTTACAAGCATGCTGCATCTATGCATCCAGTGAATGTTTTTGCATTTGAATACAATGATCATTAGTTTTCTTGTATAATTCTTTATGAAATATGATGTACCATAAACATTATTAAATGATTCTTAAATTTTAATTTTTTGTTAAAAAACTGTTTTAAGAAGAAGTAAAAAAGCCATCCCAAACGGAGTCATGGTCAGGTTTATTTGATGAATCAACTCAAATATGCATCACAAACTTTCTTTGATCGCATTAACTTCTGTCCACGAAATCTTTAAGAGACTACCCATCTCTCTCAGGAGAGAATAAACAATTCTCTCTTTCGGGCTAAAACCTAACAAATTATCCTCACTCAAAGTATGAACAGTGATATCCAGTTCAACCAAGCTTACTCCAGCACGCTTCTGCAAGCCCCTCTCCTCAATCATCTCCCTAACCTTGTCCACCTCTTCCCAATTCCCCTCAGCTGCCCATATATTTGATAACAAAATGTAAGGGCCAATATCCTCAGGCATCATTTCTATAAGTTTTTTACCTACAAATTTCCCAATCTCCCAATTAGAATGTCTCCAGCAAGATGACATCAACGCACCCCATAAAGCCTTCATGGGTTTCTCTGTCAAATCCTTAACGAACTCTGCAGTGTCTTTCAACAAACCGCTGCGACCAAGAAGACCCACCATGCACCCAACATGCTCGACTTTAGGTTTAATGTTATAAGCACGAATCATGTGATCAAAACACCACCATCCCTCAAGCACAGAATCTGACTGAGAGCAAGCACTGAGAACGCATACGAAGGTCGATTCATTTGGCTTTGAGCAACTCTTTTCCATCTCAAGGAACAGTTCAAGTGCCTTGTCAGTTTGACCATGGAGTCCATAGCTCATGATCATTGAATTCCAAGAAACTGTGCTCCGTTCAGGCATTTCATCAAACACTTCCTTTGCAGATTCAATTGCACCACACTTGGCATACATAGTAAGAAGAGCAGTCAATAGGAGCACATCAGGTTCTAAGGATCCCTCTCTAATCAGGGAATGTATCCATTTACCTCTGTCAAGCTGACCAAGGTTAGTACATGCTGTAAGCACACTAACATAGGTAGCTTTGTCTGGCTTTGCATTCCTACCAGACATCATTTCATCAAACATATCTAAGCACTCTCTGTAACACTTCAGCCGAGCATAAAGAGCCAGTAAGACATTCCAAGAAACCAAATTCCTCACAGGCATACTGTGAAAGAGCTCTCTCGCAATCGAAGCCTCTCCAATCCTGGCATATCCATCAATCATGGAGTTCCATGAGACCATATCCCTCTCAGGCATCATCCAAAATAGCTCCTTGGCACCATCCATATCACCCTTATTTACATACCCAGCAATCATGGTGTTCCAGCTTACCACATCCTGCTCGGGCATTCGGTCAAACACCTTGCGTGCGTCGGCAGTCCTCCCGTTCTTAACATACCCATCGATCATGGAATTATAAGTGACAGTATCGCAATCATGTTTATTTAAAAAAGTAAAAATCTTTTCAGCGGCGAAAATGTCACCTAATGAAGCGTACATATGGATGAGGGAGTTGCGGACGAAGAGATCGGTGTCAAAGCCGAGCTTGGCGATGCGGGCATGTGTTGTTTTGCCCTCGAGAGGCAGATTGAGTATCGAGAAGATTTTCATAAGGAGAGGGAAGGTGAAGTGGTTAGGAGCAACGGCAGCGGGAAGGACAAGGCGGCGATAGAAGTTGAAGGCAGCGGCGGGGAGACCAGCGGCGAGAAGGGAGCGAAGGATAATGTTGACGGCGAAGGCGTCGGGGTGGGGGAGGACGAAGAAGAGAGTGACGGCGAGGGGGAGGGAGGAGGGGAGTGAGGAGAGGGCGAGGAGCGCGCGACCGGCGGCGAAGGGGTGGAATATGAGACCGGAGACGAAGAGCTTGGCGAGGATTTGTGTGAGGGCGGATGAGCTTTGGTGGAAGCGATAGAAGTTGACGGCGCGGAGGAGGGGGTGGCGAAGATTAATGGGCGGTGAAGATAGATTAGGAGAAAGATTGTTGTTTGAAGGCGGCGCAGGCGGGTGGAGTGTGGCCGGAGATGGCCGGCGGCGAGAAATTGTGGTTAAGATCTCGTTGAGATGGCGAGACGTCGCGTCTGAGATGAGAGGAACCGCACTGGTCATTTGGTTGCGTTTACGAGGCGCGGCAGCTCGTCATTTTGAACAATGATTAGAAATTAATTTGAAGATCTTAATCGATTTAATTCAAACGTTCATCCTATTAATAATTTTTTATTTGAAAATTTTGACTTTATATGCTTAGTAATAGAAGAAATTTAAAAAAAAAATGGCATTGATGGGACAACGATGTTTTAAGGTAGGATGTGAATGCTTTTGGATTCCGCACATAATAATTTTTCGTTTGCGAGAGGAGCTTGCTTGGCAATGGCACCGACGAGATTAACAATGTGTGAATGTGAGGATATGATTGATGTGGATATAGTTTAATTGAAGAGCAACATGTGACATTCTTATTATAAATATTGGAATGATGCCTCTAGAAAATAAGGATGATTTGATAATGGGATATGATCGATGGATCGACTAGCCAATACTTATTTTCACAAATATTAAGTGAATTATTAGTCATGTTATTAGTGTAAGGATTACTATTATAGTCACTTATTAATTTGCTTATTGATAGGGTTTGGTATTAGGTATTACTTTAGGAGCTATTTAGTTGCCTGAAAAAAAAAATGTAGTGTAAAAGAAATACTTAAAAATTATTTGGATAAATGTAAAATGTATGAATGATTTTTTTTTTTTTAATTTTGGTTTGAAGTAAAATGAATGCAATGTAAAATTAGAGGGTTTGCGCCCAATGGTGGCAATTGACAATGATAGACGACAGAGAGCGACGACGGCCGACAGCAAGCGGTAGTGGTGGAGGGTTGTGCCTATGACTACGAGGCGGTGGCGGTCAGGTGACAGGAAGTGGTGGTGACGAAAAGTGGTGGTAAGCAGCAGACACTAGATGGCAGTGGAGATAATGGCTGTCATGGGTGGTCAAGGAAGCTAGCGAGTGGTGTAAACGGTTCCCACTGAAAATTGGCTGAGAACACTTTACCTAAAAAATGAACTAGAATGAGATACACTACATTTACTTTACTTTACATTGGATTTGATTTTCATCCAACCAAACATCAAAAAGTTAAAAAATAAAAAATTTACTATATTTTACATCAGCTTTCCATCCAACCAAACAAACCGTTTAAGGATCTTGCATGCATCTTTTATGTTTACATATATCTATATTTCTAATGTACCCAAGTGACAAATCATGATAAATATTATTGAGTCCTGAAGTCTATCGACGGGCAGAGAAATATATAGTTTAACGTCTTAGCATTGTACGAAGATCCAGCACACAATCAGATAAGAGAGAGAGTGTAGCATTCATAAGAGACAACAGAGTTTTTACGTGGAAACCCCTGAAAAAGGGGAAAACCACAGGGCCTAGCCCAGTTTTAAAGAATCCACTAGTATTTGTAGTCGATTACAAATTAATGAGGTCCTTCATTAGGAGAAGGCCTTGGCTTGATGTTACAAATGTTCATCATATAGAGCGCATTACATGTTAGGAGTTATAATAATCAACATAGATATGTTTGTTTTATTGGAAGGGTCATAGTCGGCACGAGACAGGGGTCCGAAAGACTGTAGTTGGCAGGAGACTGGGATCTGAAATACTGTTGTCTGGTGATGGAGGTCGGAATGAACATAGTAGGCGATGGAGGTTGGAAGGACCAAAGTCGATAGAAGATCGAGGTCTAAAAGACCATTGTAGTAGGGCGATACTTTAGTAGAACTCTAGCATCAAGTGGTGGCCTGATAGAAGTTCAGGCCTCAGATGGTGGTTCGACAAAAGTCCGGGCCTCAGGTGGTGGTCTGACAGAATTTCGGGTGTCAGGTGGTGGTCCGGTGGAAATTCAGGCCTCAAGTGGTTGTCCGGTGGACGTCCGGGACCTTAAGTGGTGGTTTGGCTGAGCAACGACGTCAAGCGGTGGTCCGACAGAGCTCATGGCTTCAAGTGGTGGTCGAGGGAGCAACGATGTCAGGCGGTGGTCCGACGGAGCTCAAGGCCTCAAGTGGTGGTCTGCGGAACAATGACTTCAGGTGGTGGTCCGCTGAGGTGAGGGCCTCAAGTGGTGGTCCGGCGGAACAACGACGTCAAGTGGTGGTCGGGTGTAGGTGAGGGCCTCAAGTGGTGGTCCGACTGAACAACGACGTCAGGTGGTGGTATGGCGGAGGTGAGGGCCTCAAGTGGTGGTCCGGCGAAAGTCCGGCGGTGGTCGAGGAGGAGCTTCTTCATTCTCTTCTTACTTTGATCCCCTTTCAAGCACTACAGGGGGTCTATTTATAGATTTCTGGAGTGGCATGACCCGTAAATATGTGAGAGATCAAGGGTAAATGGGGAGTGGTTGGATGGATCGCTGATATCATGAATCCCTTGATCATGGACCGTTCATCAGACATTTGAAGTTCTTAATGATGTTGGAAATCAGCGATCTTGAGCTTATTGGATTCGTCTCGTTGATACGCTCGATTCAACTATAAGCACGTCAAATCGTTTGGTAACCCAGATTGTGGTTTGAACCTTCCAACAGTGCTTCGGGTCCTTGATTTGGACTCATTTGGACTCGGATTGAGTCAAATTTGGTGTCATTGGGTTCGTATTTCCAAGATGTTCAGCTCGACTGTAAGTTTGCTGAAATCGGAGTTCAGATGGTCCCAATTTTAATGTTGGAAGTTTCTAACTTGATTTTGCATCGAGATTCGTGCCCGATCATGATAATTTTTTGATAACGCATCAAATATCAATAATTATTTTACATTTAAATAATGCAATCATGCTAATAAAATTTATTTTCTTACTTTATTATTTATTATTTTCTTTTTTCCTAAATGGGTTTGCATGTTGTATAAATGAATTATTCATCCCTTAAAAATAGATTATGTATTATGAGCGACTTGTATGTTGATTAGTGTTAATTTAATACTGTAAATTAAGTCAGATCAAAGTTTTCCTTATTTAACAAACCAGCCTAATCTGATATGGTACAATGTAAGTGCCATATTGGATTGGATAGCAACACATGAAATGAGGTATATAAATATAATTTAGAGGTGGGGTTGTGGATGTGGAGATCAAGGGTTGTTGGATAATTTCTCTCATGGAGGGGAATTGAATAGCTCAAAATTTATAGATAACTAAGGATTTGTTTGGGATGGTTGTAACTTTTTATAAATATGATTGTAAAATTGTTGTGACGAAAATAATTTTTTAAAAAGCTGCTATAAAAAGTAACTTCATAGTACACAAATTTATAGAACTCAATGAAAAACAGTAACTGATTAAAATTTGTGTTTGTAGCCTGAAAACAAAAGCAATAAAAAATCTTTCCCAAACGAAGTCTTAGAGTAGTCAGGATAGACCTTATCCTAAAAAAAATGGGGAATTGAATGGTCAAAAGTTAACCGATGATAGGAGCCTAGGAGATGGTCAATACATCCACTATTTGAAAAAGAATGTATTTGAAAGATCCCTACTTAGGAAATAAATAAGAATGGTTGGGATATTTGCTTAGTTTGAAAGGAGAGGGATTTAATGATCCTAGATCAACAAATGATTATGAGGGGTTAGGATAATTCCTCTCATGAGGGGGATTGAATGACCTAAAAGTAACAACACTTCAATACCCTTTGTTGACTTCAATGATCTTTATAAAAATCTTTAACTACCTTATTCTATACATTATAACAGCACCATCTCTATATTTAGAAGTACAATTATTCTTACAATTCTTAGTCAACTCCACGACCATCTTGCATTATATTGCCCATAATCTTCCTGCACTATAAATACATTTTCTTCTTAAGATTATTTGCAAGGCTATTAAAATTTATATTCTCCTCAAATTTTTTTTTTGAACAACCTATAAACTTTAAAATAATTATAATTATTAAATAAAACTTAATTTATGTCTGATTTAATTGATGAAACACTCTTCTTATATATGAATATTTTTTATTTCACCTATCATATAGGATTTATCATTTCATGCCATGAAAATCATCAATTATAATATCTTAAAAATAAGCAAAATTTTAAATAAATATATTACTAATCTTCTCTTTTGGTTTTATTTTAAATAACTTGAAATTATTGATGGAATAATTATATAATTAATCATATACATTTTAAAGTGCTAAATGTATTATGTTGGAAGAATATGCAATCGATTTTTACAATAAATATAATAATTTCAGAAAAATTCAAATGTAATTTTTTTATTTTTTATTTATTTGTTTAGTAATAATTTGCTTAAGCTTTTATATAAGATTAAAGCAATGAGGGCGTTGTATCTATTTGGGATGGTGCAGCTTTTTGTAAAGGTGATTGTAAAGCTGTTATGAAAAAAATAACTTTTTTGAAAGCTATTGTACAAATGAGCTTCTCTGAATATTTTTTTTTGAAAGCATTGAAAAATATAGTGGCAAAATAGAAACTGTAATTACATTCTGAAATAAAAAAAAGTTATCCCAAATGAAATTTTAATCTTAATTATTTTATTTTAGTTTATTAATATTTATTTTTCATTTATTTTTGTTGAGTATTATTTAAATATTTGACTTATTATTTATATATTATTTTATTTTGAATGTCTTTTATACTATTTGTTGATATTTAATTTCTCCTTCTTTCTAATTTTCTAATCCTCCTTTTATTTACTTGTCTACTTTTTTAACAATCTTAAATCTTGAAAATATTTTAGATCATTAAGATTAATAATTATATCAAACAATCTCAAATAATTTACCATTATATCCTACAAGTCCTAAGAAATTTTGAATCTCATACATTTTAGCAAGATGGGACCAATCCACAATTATTGAAATCTTTTAGTGGTTTACTATAAATTTTAAATGATAGCCAACTTCATATACAATTTGCCGTGTTTATCCACTTAATATCTTTAGATTTTAATTAAAAAAATTATGTGGATTATATATTATAATAATTTTATAATTTCAAAATAGGAGTAGGTTGAAGTCCCTTGTGTTGATTTAGATGTCATGAATGTATAATTTTTTTGGGGAAACATGAATGTATAATTTATTGAGGGATTTTTTGAGATTCAACATATTTAATAAAATATCATGGATCTTGGCTTTACTTCAAATCTAAGCTACTCTTTGTCTGCTAGTGATCTCTCCCTATCTTCTATCCATTATATATTTTTTTTAATAGTAAAAATATTAATATTAATTTGTTCAAAGTAAAAAAAAATGCATTTTTCAGACATTTGTGTTGATGACATAATATAAATAAGTATAAAAATTTAAACTTTTTTTTTTTTGGGGAAATTTTGGAAAATTTAAACTTTTGATAGGTAATTCAGTAGTATGAACGTCAATCCATATGTAGAAAATCCAATGCTAGCCTAATGGCCCAGTTCTATGTAATTTGAACTTCATTGCATCGACGTAGTCCTTTCCACTGCCTCCGAAATCTGTAATGGGATTTGTCTCCGGTGCCGTCGATGCCGTCATCGTGCTTTTCTCGGCAGTGCTGATTGTGGCGGCGCCGCTGATCGACGGGCAAATCTGCCTACCTGCTCGGTTCTTCCATCCGGCATTGATCGATCTCAAGCGCTGGTACGTCGAGGAGTTCGGAGACTACTTGTCCAAAGAGAAACCTCACTTCCTTGTTGGCCTTGCTTGGATCGAAATCGTCCTTCTCTGGCCTCTCTCGATCGCCAATGTATATGGGATACTTGTTCGTCGGCCCTGGGTTGCCACCACCTCATTAATGGCCGGAGTCTCTAGCATCACTTCCATGGTATGTGGCTGTTTTTTGTCTTTGATTGAAAATTTTAATCTTGGCGTTTTTCTTGAGTGATTGAGTGGGCAAGAAGAGTGGTGGGGTAAGCGATTTGCTCCTGAAAGGTTTTAGGGTTTAGGATTTAGGGACGCCGTTTGAAGGCCAATTTGAACATGCTATATCACATTTTTGCTCGGTAACGAACGCCGTTCGGAGACTAATTAGAACGCGTCATGTCACATTTTTACTCAATACTAATGCTGACCGTTGAGTACCAGATGACGTGGTGCTTTCTGGTTAGCCTTCGGAACGTCCGATGTCCGCACAAAATAATATCTCCTTACAAAGATCTTAAATTTATGATGGTTTTTCCACTGATTCCATGTAGGCTAGGGGTTGCTTGGCTGCGGGTAGAACTTAGTAAATCGGGATTTAATAAATCATCCAAAGGTTAAATCTTGAAACTCATTTGGCTATTTATTTCAACATTTAAGTATATTTGTGATTGTGACATTCACAACTAAACATCAACAAAGAAACCTTCTCCTTTCATTAGGTGTCAAATCGTGTCTACGGGTTGGATTCGAGTCCAATTTGACTTTGACATGATAGATTTTGATCCGACCCAAACCCAACCGGTTTTGGGAATCGGGTCACTTGTTTGGGTTCGGGTCAACCGAACCCGACCCATAAGCAATTGAATTGCAAATTGCAGATTTTTATTTGAAAAAATTACACACATTTGGCAAGGTGAATTACATTAAAATCTTACAAAAATTGTACAAATAATACATAATAATTTTACATTTTTACATACTAAGGGGTGTCAAAACGGGTCGGCGGGTCGGGTTCGGGTCGAACTCGAGTTGACCCGAGTCTAAACGGGTCAACCCAAACCCAACATAATTTTACAAACGGGTCCAAAATTTTAACCCGAACCTGACCCGTGCGGGTTACGGGTTGACCCGACACGACCCACAAAAACTGATGCCTGAACCGAGCGGTCTGCTTCGGGTTTGCTAAGTCTAGCATTGAGATCATGTTTGAGATCCGGAGTAGCCTGCTTTTGGTCGGAGTGTCGAACGACCCAAACGCTAGGGTGGTCGAAGCGGAACCACGGTGCGGCCGGAGCATCGGGAGGCCTATGTGGACGCCGGACTTGGCGTGGTCAAGGCGGCACAGCGAGGCGGAGCAGCAAAGAGTCGGAGTTGGCTGCACGACGACCACTGGGTGACGCGGCTAAGCAATGGCGCGCGTTGCGATAGCCTGACGGCTGACGCGATTAGACGCTAGTCACGCGACTGGGCTATTTGACGGATGAGTCACTCCACTGGGCGATGCGACGCAATTAGACGCGAGTCATGCGACTGAGCTGCTATGACAGGACAAGTCATTTTCACGGGTCAAAATAGGTCGATTTCGGGTTTCCGGATCAACCCGAACCCGACCCGATTTTACAAACGGGTCAAAAACTAATACACGACCCGTAATGCAAACGGGTTGACCCGAAACCGGAATTTTCCGGGTCGGATCCAGGTTAGCTTTCGGGTCGGGTCAGAATTTGACACCCCATACTACATAATATATTATAAATATACAATTTAGAATTTACAAATGAATTGAAACGGTCAAATTACATACATAACAACTTACAGATACAATCATAAATTAGAAACTAAACAATCTAAAATATTAAATTTCATATCCAACTCATTCAGCAACAAGTTGATATCATAAATCCTCCTATTCTTCAAGTTGAATTAACTACAAAAAGAAGATGGTTAGACCAAAAAAAAAAAAAAACTTAAAACTCTTAAGCAAATAGAATTGACAATTCTAAATCATGAGATAGTGATACTGTGATACTATAGCTAGAAAGCTTTAATGTGTAGCTCAAGTAAACCCTCCAACTCATTCAGCATTAGTTGAGTCAACTTTGAGTCATTCAACTCTCATTCATGCATTAGAGCTTCTATTTTGATCGTCTTTAATCACTTGTCAACTTTATGGTATTTAGCCTATCTCTTAAAAGGAGAGGGTTGTGTTGAGCACTTCCAATTGCCTATCTACTTTAGTTTGTTTAAACTCATTCCCCCATTTAAAGAGCGATTTTTCCAACCATTTTCTATAACGTGTTTGTTAGGGAACGATGAATCAAACATAAAGATAAATAAGAAATGACGATTCACAAAACACAAACGAACATAAGAGATATACATGGAAAACCCAAATATAGGAAAAACCACGGGGGATGAGGGAGTACAAACGGCTTACCAAAATTTTTTTGCCTTCACCTCTCCTTTCACTATTAGATAAAGAGGTGGAGGGAGAACGGTCAAACTTGCCAGGGGGCGCTGCCCTCTTGGACCCCCGGCATATCTGCGAAGCGTACGATAGTTAAGGACGTGAACAATTAAGGGTCGAGCTAAATTTGAGAAAACTCCAACAATATTAAATTCATGTCGTTAATCCCCCCTCCTTTTGGAGATGAATTATCCTAGTCACCTTTATTGACATCACCATCTATAACATAATAACAACACTTCAATATCCTTTGTTGCCTTCTCCTCCCAGAAAAGAGCAGATCCTATCATCATTATGGAGGAATTTCCTCAACAAGTGGTTATGAAGGAATTTCCTCCTTTCTGTAATCCTTGTAAATCTTTGGGTCATTGTAAAAATAACTTTAGCATTCTTCACCCCCATTTAGACAGGGTCCAGTTTACTGTGGCTAAGCCTGTTGTGAATTCTATGGGAAATGGTACTGTTACAAATTCTAATTCTGATGTTGTGATCGTGCAAGGCATGAGTCTTGATCTTGTGGCTTCAGATCCTATTCTGACCCCTCATGTTGTTGATACTGCATTTAATTGCATTATGCCTCAGGCAAATTCTTTACTTAATACTTTGCCTTCTCGGGGTGTTGTTGGGCATGCGGGTCCCTTCGAAGCTGGTGTCTCCAACACTGTTGTGGGACCTTGGTTTCAAGATGCTTTGGTGGCTTCTGATGTTCCTGGTGCTTTACCCGCTATCGATTCTTCTTTGGTGGATGGTTGTATTTGCTCAAATTTTAATGCCCCTGCTGTCAATAATTCTGTTATGCTAGTGATTTCTCCTTTAAAGGAGTTGTCAGCTAAAGGAGCTGTCAGCTAAAGGAGTTGTCAGCTAAAGGAGCTTGTGAGGATGCTAATGTTGAGGTTTACATTATAACGATAACACCTACTTCTGATATAAATCATGTTGATTCGGCAAATATGGGGATTTGTGGTGTTAACAAGGTGGTTTTAAATGAGTCTTCTAGTGCTTTTGTTGTAGCTTGTGATGATTCTCCAATAACTTCATTGGAAACATCTGATTTACCTATTAGTGCGCCCCTTATTGATGTCTCGATTAATTTTATTTCAAACTATGAGTTAAAAGCTTATTTGGAGTTGAAAGTGAAAGATTCTTGTAAGGTTCAATCAGATTGGCTTGATGATATCTCTCCCTCGTCTTGCGGGAAAGTTGGGGAAGGCTTTGATGGGCATGACGATGAGTTTTAGGCATTATATAATTGAATGTGGGTTGTGTTGTTGATAAGGGTTTTTATAATGGTGGTGGAAAACATCGCAGACGTAAATCTAAAAAGTAGGTTTTGTTTATGTGATTTTTCTTTCATTGGTCATTATCATTCTTACTGTTGGTTGATGTGCTCTCTTGGTCATGGGAATTTATGTGGTTATTGGCTGTGTTTTGGTTGTTGCCTCTTTTGGCTGTTGTGATTGTTGGTTTTGAGCATTATTTATATGATTTGGACAATGATGAGGCTGTATTCTGCATGCTTCCTGGTTGGCCTTGGCTGATGGCAACCTTGGTGGTTCAGCTTGTGTGCTTCGTGAGTATTCTCTAGTTGTTGTGTGGCTTATTGCCTCTAATAGATGGTCTTGGCCAGCCGGCTTGGTGGTTGTAGGATACTTCTTGCCACCTCCTAAATCTGATTGATTTTTACTCTGAGGCCTTCTTATTGTCTTTTTTTTTTTTTTCTCCTTTCTTTTTGTATCCAATTTCTCTAGTGTTATAATTGTCTTGATCTTTTGGGCTTTCGTTGTAATCCTTTTATGACTGAATGGATTTTGGGCATGTCTATTTTATTTAAAAAAAAAGAAAAAAAAAAAGAGCAGATCCTATCATCTTCAATGATCTTTTTAGTAAAAATATTAATATTAATTTGTTCAAAGAAAAAAAAAATGCATTTTTCACAAAATGTGTCGATGACATAATATAAGTAAGTATAAAAATTTAAAATTTTGATTGGTAATTCAGTAGTATGAATGTGAATCCACATATAGAAATCCAATGCTAATGGCCCAGTTCTATGAATTTGAACTTCATTTCATCGACGTCGTCGTTTCCACCGCTTCCGAAAGGAAACGCCCGCATCTGCAAATCTGTAATGGGATTTGTATCCGGTGCCGTCGATGCCGTCATCGTGCTTTTCTCGGCGGTGCTGATTCTGGCGGCGCCGCTGATAGACGGGCAAATCTGTCTACCTGCTCGGTTCTACCATCCGGCGTTGATCGATCTCAAGCGCTGGTACGTCGAGGAGTTCGGAGACTACTTGTCCAAAGAGAAACCTCACTTCTTTGTTGGCCTTGCTTGGATTGAAATCGTCCTGCTCTGGCCTCTCTCGATCGCCAATGTATATGGGATACTTGCCCGTCGGCCCTGGGTTGCTACCACCTCATTAATGGCCGGAGTCTCTATCATCACTTCCATGGTATGTGGCTGTTTTTTTGTCTTTGATTGAAAATTTTAATCTTGGCGTTTTTCATGCGTGATTGAGTGGGCAAGAGGAGTGGTGGGGAAGTGATTTGCTCCTGAAAGGGTAGTGGAATTAAAGGTGTGAAAATTTAGGGTTTTTTAGTACGGATGTGGAGTTAATATTTTCCCCTTGCAAAGATCTTAAATTTATGATGATTTTTCCGCTGATTCTGTGTAGGGGCTGCTTGGCTGCTGGTAGGATTTAGTAAATCCTTTAATTCCGGATTTAATAAATCATCCGAGGGATAAATCTTGAAACTCGTTTGGCATGAGATGTGTTAAATTCAGAAGTCCCTGTAAATTATTTGGCTATTTATTTCAAGATTTGAGTATCTTTATGATTCTGACATTCACAACTAAAACATCAACAAAGAAACCTTCTCTTTTCATGGTGAGCAACATCAAAGAAACATTATAGAAATCCATTCTAACAAAAAAATGCTTTTTAGCATAATGACTATATAAAGCAAATACCATGAATATCGAAAAGTTCATCAAATAAATTTCAAGGGAATGCAAGATGCATCATGCGATAAAAACTTGCAAGTTCCAGAAGTTTTGCTACTTCTGAAATGTGTAGAAATGTCTAATTTCTAGTATAACACAATGCGCATACCCAGCACTTCCAGTAATCATCAATTAGGGAAACTATGGATTTGGGTTCTTTATCATTAGAGTAAATGAATTCTTTTTGCAAGATGTATGCAGACTAATGGAGCTCTGATCCGTCAAAGAGGATGACAGACTGGTATAGACTGGAATGAAGAAAACTTACTCTTTTGGCTTGCTAAGAGCAAAATACAGTTTTAGATGCAGCCTTTTAGAAAGACCGATCCAACCAAAAACAAAATAAGGACATTATTTGTATATTAATCATGAAGAATAAAAATTATGGGGATGGTTGTTATTGTAGCATTTCACACAATTTGCTTGAATTTTCTGCTTGATTTTGCTTATCCAATTGCAGATTTGCATTGACAATCCTTGTACCCTAACCATCATGCATCACTAATTTTATGGCATGTTTCTGATAGGAAACACTTGAAGATCACAAGTAATTCCACAAGTAATTCCTATCAATATTTAGAAAACAGCGAAAATCCTCCACAAAAATCTGTACAAAACCACGAAAACAGTAGATAATTTGTATTATTTGATGAGAGGGAAACGGAAAATAGCAAGATACAATTGATCATTTATTCGAGAGGAGGATCGATCTCTCCCAAATCTCTAGACGCTGCTAGAGCCCAAAAGAAAACCTAAATCTAAGATATCTCAAATTTCAGCCAAATTCAAGGTGCCTTAACCCTAGGAAAACAAACTATTTAGTGCATACAATTCAAAAGGAAATCTCTAAACAGTCCCTACATTCAAATTTTCCTCCCAAATCCCTCAAAAAACTTTCCTAAATCTCTCCGCTTGGGCGTTCGGATCGCCCGATCTCCATAGGAAGCGGAGATCCTGCTTCTGTTTCGCAAGCTGGTCCCGTATGGACCGGTTGGATCGGTCTAACAGTTTCTTTATGATAAAGCATTATCCATCAATCATTCTCTTCTTGGCTTTTTCTTCTTCATTATTAGCCCGTCATAATTTAAATTGTGGGCAATTTTTGTAATATTATTTCTGTATACTAGAGGAAATATGCAAACACATAGAAGCGTTTCCAAGTTAGCTCTCCGTTTTGTTTAAATCATATGAATGCTTGGAAGATTATTACAGTAGGATTTGGCACATTTTGTAAGAATTATATTGTCATCTGTGAAGATTTGTATCATTTTGGTTTGTGGATGCTAACATTCTGAATATCTGGTGAAACTTGGACCCCAACTTGCATAATAACCAAAGTGGACAACCTACGATGTGAATTGAAATAAATAAAAAATGAATATCTCATTATTGATTATATTTTGTACCTTTTATTTTGATATTCAAATGAAGCAGTCACTAATCTCGATCAAAAATGGTATTGCTTGGTAGTTGTAAGCACAGTGTCCTTCACCAATGTGTTTTCATGTTGGTGAATTTATCATTTTTACTAATGTCTGGCTTGGGGGAAACTTCCGAGCACACTCAAGCTTCATCCATGTGGGCATGCATGTGCAGGGTGATAAGGTTTGACCATTTGAGGAAGCTGCATCAACTGAGCATATCCTAACCACTCGTGCGTAGGTGTGGCCAAAAATGGTGTTTTTTATTGCTCACGTTTTCCCCTAATGACAGAATGCATTATGTAGATTTAGGTTTCATTTGAGACGGCTTTTTTATTACTTCTTAAAACAACTTTTTAGTTTAAAATTTAAAATTTTATACTAGAAAGCTGCTTTATGCTTTATGGTGCCGAATGTTGGCCATTAAAAGAGAAGCATAATACTAAGTTAAGTATTGCAGAGATGAAGATGCTCAGGTGGATGAGCGGATTTACCCTTAGAGATAAGATACGAAATGAGCATATACGTGAAAAGGTTGGAGTAGCGCCAGTGGAAGATAAGATTAGAGAGAGTCGCCTTAGATGGTTTGGTCACATAAAACGGCAGCCTTCCGATGACCTAGTTAGGAAAATAGAGGTATTAGATTTGACTTATGTTAAGAAAGGTAGAGGTAGATCTAAAAAGACTTAGTTAGAAAATATTAGAAATGATCTTTCTTTATTAGATTTAAACAAAAATTTGACTTTTAATAGGACACAATGGAGAAAAAGGATTCATGTAGCCGATCCTACGTAGTGGGACAAAGGCTTGATGTTGTTGTTGTTGTTGTTGTACTAGAAAGCTATTTTTAAAAGCAGTAAGAAAGCCATCCCAAACGAAGCCTTAGTCTTTGATCAACTTGTGGGCTGGAAGGGAATGAGAGCACTCTTTAAGAAGTTTGGGAGCGGAGTCTTCAAAAACTATTCAATATTTACAGAATATTTCTTTGATAATGTTTTGAGAATTTTAGTATATCTTTTAGATCATCCTAGATTTTTTTTACAAATAGAGGCATAATCTTATATTTGTATTAGAAGAATTAGGATTGTAATTATTCAAGATCAAATCATAGTGAAATCGCAAGGACAATAACAAGATGTAAACATCAATTAGATGAATCCATATAAAATTCCATATATTTTTTACTTATAAACTTTTTTTTTTTCATCCTCTGTACTTTGAATGGGTTTCACCCTCTGTGTTGCTCCAACACCATATAATAAACTGGGCACCAAACTAGCTACCCCTAAATCGGACAAATTAATTTGTCCAGATCAAAAAGCACAGCAAAAGGACAGCAAATACTCAATGAGTAAGATATTTGCTGCGCTTTTGCTGTATTTTTGCAAATTCTCAGCAAAAGGGCAGTTAATATGCAATTAAAATTATGTATTAGCTGCATTTTGCAAAAATACATGAAAAGCGTAGCAAATTCGGACGCAAACTAGCATCCGGTGTCCGCACAGAATAATTTGCCCTAAATGAATAGTAGTTCATCTATTATCCACACTTTCTGATCTCATCTTATAAATGTGCTATCAATATGATGTTTATATTTTTTTCAGGCTGCACTGATGGCAGAGCTTCTGGGTTCTGGTAGATCATCAGATAAACTGCTGCAGATATACTCCCCATTTGTAGCTTTCTCAGTTTTGGCAATCCTAAAGGGACTCTTCTCTGGACCTCTCCAAACAGTTACCAAGCCATCACAAGCACCCTTTGCTAGGAAGAAGAGAGCTTAGTCACTTCGCAAATCTGATTACTTCTACTGCTTTTGAACTTAATTTCTGGTGGAAAATGGGCAAGATCTCTAATCTTTTTTCCCCTAGAAATTTACAGTCTTAATGTATGCTGTTGAATTTGTTGAGAGCTCAGTTGAGAGGCTTGAGACTCATAATTGTTCCTTTTATGTGATATTAGTTTTGTCAGACTATCCTTCACAGGAAGAGCACCATGCCTTGTCAATCTTGTTTGCTTTTGCATCTAATTTAGGCTTCATTTGAGACGACTTTTTTATTGCTTCTTAAAGCAACTTTTTAGTATAAAACTTTTTAATTTTTAAACTAGAAAATTATTTTAAGAAGTAATAAAAAAATCGTCCTAAATGAAACCTTAGAATTTAGGATTTTCTGTGTTCTTCAGAATCTAAATATTGAATGAAAGAAAACTTTTCTTTTTGCTGATAGAAAGATTTTCGACAAGATTAGTAGTGCATGGTTTGATACTTCATACAATATTTTAATAATCAGTTTATGAGAAAATGAGTGTTGGATTCTTTTATTTTACAGATAATTGTTGTATTTTTATTTAATTTAAAATACTATTATTATTTTAAAAATTTTATGCTGAGAATGAATTTTATAAATAAATTTAGTAATGTGCTAGCTGAAATAAAAATGTCATTAATTTTTTTTTTTTAACTCAGTTGCAGCTGTCTCAAATAATTATTAAGCAAATTTTAACATGAAATATTATTTTTTTGAGTTTTTTAGAGATATTTAAAGGATATATTTTATGTTGATTTATTGCTAACTAGCCATCATGAAAAAGAATATAATATTGATAAATAAAAATAATAAATTTTTTATTCAACCGTTCAAATGAGAATTTTCAATTATTATTAAAATAAAAATAATTTAGTTTTATTTAACCACTCAAATGGGAATTGAGTGATATAAGCTATAATTTTGATAAATGATAAGACCACTCTATTAATGTGAAATAATTGTATAATTAAAATAACATGGCACCAATGATTTTTTTTTTCTTTTTCTTGTCATTTTCAGCTTATATAGTAATAATAAAATAAAATATTGATTTACTTGTACTTTTTCTAGCCACATGTCATACATATGAAGAGTATTAAAATAATAATATTAAATTATTATTTAATAAATTATTTATATATAAAAGTCTCCAAGGAAAAGTAGGCTCCAAATGGCAATGATGCATTGTAAGAAGCAAGGATTAGGCTTTTATACCATATCTATCCAAAAAATATATATAAATAAAACCAAATAAACTTAGAAATAAAAAAATAAAAATAATAATAAGAATTTCTATAGATCATTATTGAAGAAGTCTTGCCACTAATTTATAATTTAGTTTTAATTCTTACATCATTTTCTATTTAGTAACATCTTAATTATTACTTGGCTAAATAATATATTATAAATTTTATAGAAATCTTCAAAATAATATTAATACTCAAATATGTAAGTTATCTTTTAAGAAATATTATTAATATTTATATTTGATGGTTATTTTGCATATGCTTCAAAGCTATACAAGCTTTAATAATAATTACTTTTGTATAATATAATGCTAAAATGTTCTCATATTACATGGAAGCCAATCATAAAAAGAAAAAAAAAAAGCTTAAATAAATTTACTAATCTAATGCTAACACTTTAGGCTAGTCAGCTTGTTGGACCACCTAAATTTCTAACTATTCAACTAAATACAATTGAATGCTTTATAATATCAACAATTTCAACTTCCTATATAAATGAATATCAATAAATAAGTTTTTTATAGGTTTATGCACATTAATTTATAATGCTTAATTTTCTTTATATCTAAAGAATATAATCTTTTTATTTCAAGTGAGATGATCATTTTGTTATAGATGATTGATGCGTGTTTTAAAAAGTTTATTTGAGTCGGTATGAATTTGATCGAACATAAGTTTGAAGATCTCAAAATTCTTCAATATTTGAATTAAAAACTAATACTAAGATTATTTTATAATACCTATAAAAATAGTGTACCGTTCAACATGTTCTGACAGGTCATATTCAAGGTAATCTGCTAAATTTCTGTATTTGAACCCTTATGCATGTATTTGGAAATGTTCTTTGTGCATGTGAGAGTCTGCATATGTCTTGAAATGGATCTTGATGGTTTGTTTGCATGTTTGAAAAAGGTTGAAATTTGTTCCTTGGGGCAGCGTGAGGTTGGGGTAGGCAATGCTCTAGCTAGAGCTTAGGTTTCTTAGATTTTGGAAAAAAAATTCTGCATGGTGGCACTGGGGGTTGCCGCTACGACTCTGTGGGCTCTTTGAGGGAGAGTCAAAGCCCTGAGTTTGATTTTAAAATATAATATATTATTTTCTATTAATTGATCCATTTCATTCCCTAATGTGGTAGCCCACTAGTGTGTGTGTGAGAGAGAGCGAAAGATTTCTAGAGAGAGAAAGTAAAATATTCAAACTTTATTTTTTTAAATAAATTCATAGTTGAAATTATCATATGAATAAGGCAATCTAATAATACCAAAATGAATCTAAATTAAGCACTTCTCGAAGCCTTTCAAGGGATTAAACATCCTCTAAATGCTACATGCTTATAATCTAAATGAATATCTTAATCAAATAAGTTGAAGAGCCCAGGATTGCTTTGATTTTGATATCAACACTAAAATGTATAAAAAAAATTATATGATCAAAGGAAATCAACATAAATAGTCTAATGAAATTTTAATTTTTAGTTGAAATGGCCAAAATATCCTCATCTACAAATTTATAAATAAATATATCCTACATCTACACATTGAGGCAGGAGCTGATGAAGGTTGATACATAGCTCCTTAATGATTCCCGTAAAAAAAAAAATTCTCAGGATAAAATTTATTATATAAAATGCCATTTTCAGCACTAAATTTTAATTAAAAAAAAAACTAAAAATTTGATGAAGTGAATCATTTAGGATATGTGTTGTGTCCCTGATTCAGGGACTGATTCCGAAATTGATGTGAATTGGAGCGGGAGGCTCCCAAGAAATAATTATTGCTCCTATTGGCCATTGAAGTGGTGCTTTTAGGATAGTGGGACTGGTGTTCTCACAGACGACGTCAAACTGTTGCGTGCTGGATCTTCGTACAATGCTAAGACACTAAACATCATTTTTCTCTATCGTCGCGAATATTCCTGAACGCATCAATATGTAACAATGATGATTGAAGATATTGATTTATTAATTTTTATACATTATATTTTGATGTTCACCTCTCAAAAATAAAAATGCTAAGAAATAATTATGGCTCGGTGAATCTATAGTCCATGTACTTTTTTTTTTTTTTTGGGACATTATAGTCCATGCATGTACTTAGATATTAATAAAGAGAGCTATATATTCCCCCAAAAAAAAAAAAAAAAGAGAGCTATAAAGGAGATCTAAATGTGGTATGGGAGCCATGAAATATATTTTTATTAGTTCACCGTTGTACCAAACAAAAGTAATATGCAACCAAACAGTACATGGGAGAGAGAATTCAATAGTGAAAATTAAAAAGGTAGCTTTGCATGTACATTTGAGTAAGAAAATTTCACTTTATAAATGGGTGGGTGGGAAATTATGATGGATCTGTACTTTATCATATGTCAATTAAATAAATATTAAAAATAAGTTGGACATATATATTTTAAATATTTTATAACTTTTTTATATATAATTCTGGTATCATTAAAAAAAATTTCTCTCCGTAATCACTAGTACTTTATATTATATTCCATGAATATTCTTGTTGCGGGTTAGAATATATACGGCGATAGAGTTATAATCATACATCTTAGTATTGTAAGGATATCCAATTCACACACAGAGAACACAAGATTTTTTACGTGGAAAATCCTAGAAAATGAAAAAAAACACGGGGCATGACCCAATTGAAAAGGATTCTACTATAATTTGAGTATATTACAATGGGCTGACTTGCCCTCGAGGGTATCAGATTACAAATGTCAACCATATGATTGAAGTCGACAGTAGATGAAAGTCTAATATCACTTGGTAGTTCGGCGGAAGTTCGGCCTTCAATTAGTGGTTTGGTAGAACTCTAGGCGTCAAGTGGTGGTTCGGTGGAACTCTGGGTGTTAAGTGATGATCCGACGAAAATCCGGGGGTCAAGTGGTGGTCCGGCGAAACTCCGACGCAAGGTGGTAGTCTAACGGGACTCTAGGCGTCAGGTGGTGGTCTAGCGGAACTCCGGGCGTCACGTAGTGGTCTAACGGAACTCTAGGTGTAAGGTGGTGGTTCGGCGGAACTCTGGCGTCAGGTGGTTGTATGGCGAAAGTCTGGGCGTTAGGTGATAGTCCGGTGGAACTTTGGGCGTCAGGTGGTGGTTTGGCGGAACTCTGGGTGGTGGTCAAGGAAGCAAGAAGGCAAGAGCTATCTCCGATCTCTCTTTGTTTCCTTAGGCTTAGGGCCCCCTTTTCAAGATGAAGGAGATGTCTATTTATAGATTTTCTAGAGTGGCATAGCCCGTAAATAGGAGAAAGATCAAGGGTAAATGGGGAGTGGTTTGGATGGATGGTTGATTGAACGTGAACCATTTGCTAGACATTTGGAGGTCTTAACGATGTCAGAATTCTGTGATCCTTGGCTCGTTGGATTCATTCGTTGAGATGCTCGATTCAACTATAAGCATGTCACACTTGGAAACCGTTTGGTAATCCAAATTGTGGTTTGAACCTTCCAAAGGCGCTTCGGGTCCTTGATTTGAACTCATTTGGGCTCAGATTGAGTCGAATTTGGTGTCGTTGGGTTCGTATTCTCAAGACGTTCAATTGAATTGTAAGTTTGCTGAAATCGGAGTTCAGATGATCCCAAATTTAATTTTGAAAGTTTTCAACTTGATTTTTTCTCGAGATTCATGCCCAATCAAGATAATTGTTTGATGATGTATCAATTCTCATTTCGGATTACGACTTAGGTTTCACAATAATGCATAATGTCATCTCTTCGATGTCATTACAACATCAATGTTGTAAAATCATCTCAACATTGAAGTTTAATGTTGCCTTGAAATGGATGCTAGACACTAACAATTCTCACACCGGCAATCACACCCATGCGTCATCTCAACATTTCATCTTTGTCCAACATCGTCTCAATATTGACGATCAACATTACCTCGACATTGATGCTCGAAGCCCACATTTCACCATCTCGATGCCGGACTTTTGAAGCATTGTCGTCTCCCCTCTCGATGCCTGTCATGATATCCACACCTAACTATAGATCGACATCTTAATATTAATCATTTTAAGCACATATTTTAATTAAATGACTTATTATTTCTCAATTATTTTTAATATTCAGTTTATTCAATTTATATACACTATTTTTAAATATAAAAATTATATTACCGTGTCTAACCTATATCTGCATCCTATAGTTTTAATAATTGATAGATCCCATATATATGTCGTGTTGTGTTCATATCCGGATGACTCGAAAATAATTTGAGCAGCCTAACAGGTCACACGAAGATCATGAGTCAAGTAGTCGAGCTAGTGTTATAACCTGCTTACGATCACAACACGAAATAAGACAATACGAGCTCGGAAAACCATTTATTGCTGCATAAAGATAAAAACAACTATTAAAGTAGGTGGTGGCCTCAATAAATTCATCTCAAATGCAGGCCGGATTTGCTCCTCTGTCTCTCATTAGACCCTTCAATATATAAATATATAAAGCAAAGAAAATATTTATCAAGCAAAGCTTTACTTTAAATTTGTGGCATTCCTATTCCTTCAAACTTATTATTATTATTATTATTATTATTATTATTATTATATCATCAAAAAATTCTGTTGATCAAGCAAAAGTCTCGAAAGGGCCTGCAGGCCTTCTGACCTCCACCGCCCACCAACTATGATCCTTCCAACCAAACAAACGTCAATATTGATTTTTCTTATTCACACTATGTAATGCACTCTATATGATTTATATTTGTTACATCAAGCCAAGACCTTCTCCCCAAGGAATGACCTCATTTATAATCAACTATAAATACTAGTGGATTCATTAAAATGGGACCATGCCTCGTATTTTTTCCCCTATTCTGGGTTTTACATGTAAAAATCTTGATGTCTTTTATAAATGCTACACCTTCTCTTTCATATGTTTGAGTGCAGGATTATCGTACAACGCTAAAACATTAAACTTTATACTTATATACCGCCGCAAATATTTTATGATGCAACAATTATTATTATTATTGTTATTAGATTATTCAAGGTCTATTGAGATAGCTACAAAATTTTATAAAGTTGATTGTGAAGTTGATATGGGCGAATAATTTCGTTAGTATGGTTGTAAAAATTAGCTTTCTACTACATAAATTTTTAAAAAATAATAAAAAAATAATAAAAAATAATAGTAAATGAAATAGTGATTAAAAATCTGAAAAATAAAATAGCACAAAAGCTGTCCCTAACTCACCCTTAGACAAATTAGGGGGATTGTTGTTTTAGATTATAAGTTAAGAATTCTTGCAAGAGGAGCTCTCGCCTTCTTCCCTTCTTTGGGTTACCCTAACCAAAGGTTTTATTTTTGCATTTTAAAATTATTGTTCTAAAATGACCCGATACCAAAAAAAATTAAGAAAAACAAAAGTTTTTTAAATGATAGAAAGAAGCTATAATTGAATAGCTCCGGCCTCAGCCTGGTAATTAAGATAATTTATATCATCAATTAATTTATTTTTATTAAAATTAAAATTAAATAGCTCATTATACTATGAATTTATATAATTTCATAAAAATGTAAAGTACAAAGTTTGAATTTTTATTATATAAAAGTACTATAAATAAATTTGTAATATTTTTAAATTACAGAAATAATAATAATAATAATAAGGGAAGGGACCATCCCAACCACTCATGACTTAGTGTGACAAATGGCCCATATTTGCTTGCTGATGAACCCAACTATTCTTTAAATTGAGGAACTCTTCGTGGACCACATCATTTAGTTGCTAAAAGGCTTCAAGAGAAACTATTTAATAGGAAAATCAGCAGTTGAATTGTCCTTATCGATATGGATTAATTACATGGTGGCCCAATTATTTGATTTTTTTAATATATTTTAAGTACAAAATTAATAATAATCATAATTAGGCATAATGTATAGAGTAAATATCGGCCGATCATAAATATTCTTCGTCTACTTCTTGAAAGAATGGAGATTTAAAAATATAAATAATAATCAAAACTAATGTGTGCATCAATTAATACATCTTAATAGGCTAACAATAAAGGTTATGAAAATATTATTAGGAAAACACTATTTATCAAAATTAAATTAGGTCTAAAGCATCAATCACAACCAATCGGAAATAGAGCAATTAACCAAATTAAAAAGTGTCACAAAACAAATGAGAATTTGAATAACTATAACATAAGTTAATAGAAGGAAATTCAATAATATAAAATCGACTGTATATTTATATAGATACATGAAGAAGAAGCAATAGTCATTTGTTGATGCCTCTCAATGTCTATCATCATCTTTTATTTTTTGATTGACATTCACTAATGGACGTCATACTCTAATCACCATCTTTCATTTTCCGACCAATGTCTACTGACGAACCTCCGTCGACTAACTCTCGATACTAGCTGTCGCCCTTTAATTGACATAAAATATCTGTTCATTGACAAACTCTCGATCTGATGTCAACCTCCACCCTTTCGTTCGTATAATAAACCCCACAATACATTATCGATGTGACGACCTCCTCCATATAGCTTAGGAAATACTAAAATTGAATTCCTTCACTTCTTAGTTAAGAGGAAGGGTGAGTTGACTTGCATAATTTCAATAGATTTATTTTCAATGGACTTCTCTATTAACTCACAATCTTTTTAATGATCGAGTGATATACTGTTCTAAATACTTGCATACTGCACATAAAATATACTAATAACTGCACAAAGGCCTTTCATGCTCATTAAGAAGAAATTATTTAGTTCGGAGGTCGAACGCAGCTCTATGTTTAGAGACGAATCAGGTGCAGCCACGTCAGCGGTATCGAGCCGCGGTACACAACGAAGGTGTGACGTGGCTCATTCTTGTTGGTCTATGGATGACGTTTGGCATCTGCACAGAATAATTAATCCTCATTAAGTCAATTGTTTTAGCTATAAGATTTTGTTATCATAATTTTTATTAGTCGTAACATACAAAGTAATCTCCATAAGAAACCCATAACCCCACACTAAATACTTCCATTAGTTAATATGATTAATCAATCATTAATTCATGCTTAATTAGTCTTAACCTAACTCCCTCTACATAGTCTTTTACCTAATCATTATTACTTTATTATTAATTAACAATGTGATAATGATAATTACTTACTTTATACGATTGCTTGGGTGCGTCCACCCATACAATAATTATTTAATTATGCATTACTGATCATATAATTTAATTATCTATTTGTCCATATTATCTCTTAAGAATAAGCAAAATATCAAAAAGCTAACTTACTTCATTCAATGTGTCATAAACATATGGAAGTATCTGTGAGTTGATAGAAAAAACCAAGCAAATTCATTTTGTTGCCATTTGTAATTAATCTTTTCGTGGTTTATAAGAATTAATCTCTAACATAATCACAGTCATTAGAGACAAAAATTAAGCAATAGTCATTAAATAATATTAAGAGTAATATTTATTACACGATTTGCTAATTACTTCTGAGGACGTAATAGTCAAAATAAATAATTTATAAATAAACTAGTCAAGTATTTTTTTTTAGTCAAGTATTTATCTAATCGAGGTAAGTTTGTTTAGTTCTTAATGAGCTTGAGCTCGACTCGAGCTCAGCTCGTTTAGAAAATTATAGGCTTAAAGTCGTTTGGAAAGCTCGAGCTTAACTCGCTTATTGAGCTAATTTTTTAATTTTAAATTAAAATTATCTTTTTTTTATTTTCATTTTTAGTATTGAATTAATTTTAAAAGATTAAAATATATTATTTAATCTTATTTTAAATATATTTTAAATTAATCGAGTGGCTCAACGATCTGACGAACCGAGCCAGGCTAAGCACAAGCACGAATTTGTTTAATATATGAGCTCGAGTTTAAGCTCAAGGTCTAGCTTGAGCTTGAACTCGTTGCTCGATAAGCTCAACTCGTGAGTCTGTTAACGAGTCGTACTCAAACAGACTCCGCCACTACAGGCTTATGAAATATTTGCGGCTATCTCTTAAAGATCTCACTACTCTATAGTTCTTTAACCACTCCCCGTTCATAAAGTCAAAAAATAAGTGATAATAATTAATATTGATAGTAAAATATATTTGAGTGCAATCAATTAAAATTTATAATTAATACAATTAATCTCATAATGTTCTATTTCTGTTTTTGTTTTTTTATTTTTTATTTTCTCTTTTCCAATTTCCCAATTTACTCCCCTATATAGTCGACAACTTGGACCAGCAAATAGAATCTTCTTCTTTCCAACCCTTTCAATTTCTTACCATCGGGTCGTTAAACCCAACAATACCAGCTGAGCGTGCAGAGAGACCAAGAGAGACGGAGGGAGGGAGATGACCGCCGCCGGCTTTCGCAGTCGACGATGAGCGAGTTTGGCCGGGCCGTCGTCCGGCCTGACCTCAGGTTGAGCCGCGTCGTCCGCCTCGCCTTTCTCCGCCGCCTCCTCCGCCTTTTATGGCGCCACGTCATCGTCTGCTCCTCCTGCTCCGTTGCCGCTGCCTCCTTCACTGCCGCCGATGGCGACCACACCCTCCGCTACAACCGCCTCCGGGAAGACGAAGAAGAAGCTCTGCCGGTGGCCGCCGTCACGGATGCCGCTCGTCCCCTGTCTCCACCACTACGCTCGACCGCCACTGACGAAGGTTTCGACGACCTTGTCTCCCTCAAAGTCTGCCTTCTCGGCGATGGCCGGATTGGCAAAACTAGTTTCATGGTATGCCATCTGATCTATGTAGCAATTTTTTTTTCTTAAGTCTATAATGAAACCAAACATAGAATCAAAAGAACTGTATCTAATAAAATATTGATTACTTTTTTTCTTTGTTGGATTAAATTTGATTTCATTTTTTAAGGTGAAGTATGCGGGGGAGGAAGAGGAGAACAGGGGCTTGCATATGAATGGGCTAAACTTGATGGATAAGGTTTTCCTTGTAAGAGGAGTGAGGATAGCTTTTAGCATTTGGGATGTTGGAGGTAATCAGGCTTTTATTCTTACTATTTCTGATTTCTCCCTTTATCTTTTTAAGAAATTGTTATCATAAATTCAGCTCATAATTTTTTTTGAAAATTTGAGGGATTTAGGTGATAATTTACTTGTGAGCCAGCTTATAATCTCTATACTAAATAAAATATAATTTAGCTTATAACTTATTCTCTTTGATGTAGCTTATACTGTTCTAATTGGATATTTAATACCGCTTCAATGCCTTTGTTTTTATACTGTTAGTTTTTTCTTAGGCGATGGTCGGTTTTCAAATCATATTCCATTGGCTTGCAAAGATGCAGCTGCAATTCTGATAATGTTTGATCTCACAAATCGAAGCACACTTAGCAGGTTTATAATTTTTTTCTGCCGAACCGACTTATTCACAAAATTAATTCATTTCTGTTAAAGAAAATCATTTACATTTGTTTTTCTTTTGTTTGTTTTCTTATTTGGATTTTGATTTGATGCAGCACAACAAATTGGTATAGGAGAGCAAGAATATGGAATAAGGTAATTCATTTGAGCTTCTTTCACAATTTGCAATTGTTTTGTTTTTTTGTCATACATGATTGGAGTGCCAGAAGCCAAAAAAAAGTAAATTTAAATTTTTACAGACTTACATTCATTGCAATAATGAGCAGCTAAGCTTAACTGCATCATCTGAATCTTATAGTTTGTCCTTGGTAGTGTTTTGTCTTGCTTTTTCAATTTTTGGTGCTTAATAGTTATTTTCATGCTTGTTTTTGTGAGCTTGTGCTGTTTTAATGCATTTAAAATTTTTCAGACGGGGATTCCAATCTTAGTAGGCACTAAATTCGATGATTTTGTTCAGCTTCCTCTTGACATGCAATGGACCATTGTGACTGAGGTAATTAACCCCCATTACATTTTCCAATGTCATTTTAAATGAATGTAACTTTGTTTAATGATAAGATGCATTGCTTTGCTTGAAAAATGAGCCTACAAATCATGTTTAGAGATATGTCAGTACGAGAGATTATTCTGTTCGGACACCGGACACAGCTTACCGTCCAAAGGCCAATCAGGTGCAGCCACGTCATCCAGTACCGAGCAGTACTTACCTATTAAGGGTGATATGGCGCATTTTCATTGGACTTTGGACAGCGTTCGGTGTCCGCACCTAAGCGATTATTGAATAAGGTTTAATTAATCAACACTCACATTGGAAGTAATGCTAGAAACAATTAAATGTAGCTTTCTATGCATACTTCCTTAATCAATTCTTAGAAATCAAGTTAGCCTTAAATGTAGCTTTTTAATCTAGTAGGTGATTGAATTTGTTGATTATTTTTTTCATTTTGTAGTTGGAAATCCATGCTGACTTTCAATTACATCAAATTAAATGGAGTCTACAAAATTGTATCATTGACAAGAGACCAAATGGGCCCTTAATAAATGCTCAATGATTTGGGGTAAATTCTTGATGTTCATACGTAGATGATAAACTTAGAATTATGATGGGCAAATGTCACTTTCTTGTATACTCGTTGTATGAAAACAAGGTACCAATTATTAATTTGGTAGACACTGATTCATCACGAAGGTGTCAAAATAGATTTTGTTGAGGAGTCTCAATCATGAAGACTAATATGGAAGCCCAAGTTTCATCTGTTAGGTATGAAAGACATAAAAATGCAAAATTCTGTTCTAGAATTTTCACATCAACTGATAGGATAGAAAGGCCTCATTTTAGGAAAGAAAAATGGAGGTAAAGACATCATTCTGCATATACTTCAGAAATATTTTAGGGTCATATGATTTTGATAGGAAGTACTTGAGTTCGCAAGTAACCCTAAGGGAAATACTTGAGCTCGCAAGCAAACCTAACACTAACTGGTGAAAACAGCTAAAGTAATGCAAAATCTGGGTGAAATCAGCCTCAAAACAATGGATTGTAATAAGAGAATCAAAGCCAAACAAACACAAAACAAGATACAAGTTGTTGCGTCCTAGAATATTCGCGGCGACTATAAGCTTGCTGAAATCGGAGTTGGGGTGCTCTCGGAATTAATTTTTGAAGTTTGCAACTAGCTTTCGCCTCGAGATTCGTGCCCGATCAAGCTAATTTTGTGATGCCGTATCACAAGTGATCCTCAATTCGAGAGGAGGATCGTTCTCTTCCAATCTCTAGACAAGGAGTCTAGAGCCCAAGACGCCAATGAACTGCAAGAGAAACAAATCAAGCATTTAATACATGAACTTTCCAAATCAATTTTCCCTCCAAAGCCCTAGCCGCCCCCTCCTTTTCTAATTTGAACTCAATTAGAATAGTGAGACCCATTATTGTGGGCGGCAAGTATAGAGGAGGCGGGACTAATCCGCCTCCTATAAATAAAAAGCAGTCTTGGACGGGCTGGTTGGGCCGGTTCAGGAGGAACAAGCCTATCAGACTCTTACTACTCAAATGTTGATTCTGCTAACCATTGCTTCTGTTGTTACTAATTCATGGTGCTCTGTATTATAATTAGGTTAAAAAAACATGTATATGATTGAAATAGGCAAATGGGGATTAAACTTAGAACAATTTGTATTCCAACTCTTCATGATGTGGATATAAAACTAATTCTATGCCCCTGTAGTTAACTTTTGAAATTAGTGGATACATAAGAACAGTGAATATATTTTTACATTAAAATGGAGTAAAGCTCCAAGTGCTCCTCTTTAATTTGAAGACTAACTCTAGTTTCCTCATCCAAAATATCAAATCAAAGAAAATAAAGAAATGCCAAAAAAGTGGCCATGTGTTTCATGCATAGTCGTCAAACCAAATTCGTGATATCACTTTTCAAAATATATATGGTGAGTCACTAACTTTTGATTGTGACAAAGTTCACACTTTGTCCACTACAATACAAAAGCATAGAATGATAGAATTGAAGTTTTTTTGACATTGTGGGTGATCTTCGAGATGCCAAGTTTTTTCTACAGTGATGGAAGTACCATTTCCTTATTGTTTATATTTTGTTAGGTATCATACATTAATGATTTATTTAGAAAGAAGATGAGCAAACATGATCATCTTACCTTTATCATGTTAATGAGTTGAGAATATAATTATTGATTTGCTACTACTATAGAAGTTGTTTAAAACATTGATTATACATAATCGGATCAAGGTTTAGGATGATTTATGATAGTTTTTTGTCATTATTTTTTTCACCGCTTTCAAAAAATTTTTGTAAACTACTGTAAAAAGCAGTAGGAAAACTGTCTCAAACAAAACTTAACTATTTATGTAGGAATCAACACTAATGAATATGAAGTGAAGATTTATGATTGATTTCCTATATATAATTATATTTGTATGATTTTGGCAGGCCAGAGTATATGCAAGAGTGATGAAGGCGACTTTGTTCTTTTCGAGCACGACACATAACATAAATGTGAACAAAATATTTAAATTTATTACTGCCAAGCTCTTTAACTTGCCATGGAGTATAGAGAGAAATTTAAAAGTTGGAGAGCCCATAATTGATTTTTAGGGCACCTCCTTTTCACATTTTATTGCTCTCTTTTGGTTTCTTTTTCTGTCTCACAGGTAGCTTCATAACCTTTATTGTGTGCAAGGCTGTAAATATATAGCTTTTTTGTTCTTGTAGAAGGTTTTTCTTAGTGAAAATTCAAAGCTTTCTCAAAAGCCGTCTCAAACGAGAGAGATTATTCTGTGCGAACGCTGAACTGAGAGAATTGTTCACTTTTCGTTCTATCTATGGTAAAAGCACAGCTGCTGAGAGAAAACCGGAAACCGGACGGCTCTTCAGTCCCGTATCCGTACAAAATAATTTGTCCCAAACGAAGCCGTAATGTTGCCTTTAATTAGATCCAGTTAAATTATGTGATGTAATCATTTCCTTAAAAAGTTTTTTTTTTTTTTTTTAAATATCTGCATAGGCATCATGGGATGTGGAGGAGCTTTGCCGCACGCTCACGCAAAACTCAATACAACATTATTCCTTTGTAAGTTAGATGATAAAATATTTGCAGGTAACCTAATATAATGTAGAGGAGATTAAAAATATATTTTATAATTTTTTATTTGCAAAATAAATTTGTAATCAATATGGAAGTTTAAAGGATAAATTTGATAAATTATTATATTATTTTTATAATATGATAAATTAAAATAAGTAATATTTATCATATATGTCATAAATAATTAGTTTAAAATGTAAAAAAAAATACCATTTTTTAAATTAGAATAGTAATTAAAATTAATTTTTAGCATTAATTTATGTATTTTAATAATTAATTTATAGATTATTAACAAAGTTTTTAGTTTGAATGGTTTCTAATCCTAATGTTGTTGATGATGGGCTACCTGGTGATTCGGCTGTGTTGGGCAATGCGGAGGATTCCGAGAGTAGAAAGGTGCACTCTTCAGTGGGGGGCCAAGTGCTAGGTAATTTTATTAATGTACCTGTTAACCTTTCGGCAGCCAATATTGTAGTGGGATCAAATTCTGGAAGGGATGTTAGGTCACATGGTGATTGGTTGATCAATTCGTCTGAGGTTGATTCTGATTCTGATTCCCTTTCAGATCCTGATTTTGATTTTAAAATGGTTCCTGATAGGACTCTTAGGGCCAGCTTGCGTGGGAAATTGTGGAAGCGAGGTGGTAGAAGAAGATAATCTGTTTAATTTTTTCTTGCTGCTGGTGTCTTCATCTGTTGGTTTTTCGTTTGGATGATTAATTATTGGGCGATGATGTTCTGGGGCTCGCACCATCGTTGACTCTCCTGTGGCAACCGTTGGTACCCCTTCTGGATGGTCCTTGAGGGATCTCGAGGTGCTGGTAGTCTCGGTGTTCTACTGAGCCCTCATTTGGATTGCCTTTATATCGTTTGTGGGGTTTTTTGGTTGGTCCTTTTTCCTGTTAATTGTTGTTTTTGCTCACATCTGATGTAACCCTTTCTATTATTAATGAAATTTTTGTTTAAAAAAAAAAAATACACAGTAGTACTTATAGTTACATATCAACCAAATGTTTAAACACAAATAAATATATAATTTAAAGGAAGAATATATGAACTTATGTTTGGTCTTACTATGTTTGATAAGGGCTTGTTGGTCTGATGGGCTTATCATTTGTGAATGGGCCTAGATTAGAACGGGCCAAGCTCTTTACAAAGACTTTGAGACATTTCATATTTGTTACTTGCGTGAAGTTAGGGTTATAAGTGAATAATTTTGTATTTATTTGGATAAATTATGTCCTTTTTCATTTATTTATATGATTTAATAATATTTTAAAATTTTAACATATAAATGGGCGAGGTTGAACAATTATATGTAAGCTCATTTATTATTTAAAAAATAATTTGCTAAGAATTTGACAAATTGGCTTCATTGTTTATTTATGTATTTAATAAATTATTTATAATATTAGATATATAAATATGACGGCAATATCAAATAAATATAATAAATGATAGTTTAGTTTGTATTTGTAAACATATGACTGAATTAGTGCTGTTGAAAATATTCAAATAATTAAAATAGGGGTATGAAATCATGGGATATGCCCCTAAAACAAAATTTATAAATGAGGAGAGCTCTAATTAGAGACATAATAATGGGCCCAAAGGAGAGCAATTTAATAGTAAAGCTTGGCCAAAAAAAGACAATTTGAATAACTTGGTTAAATTTTATTTAGGATGATCCATAATAAATCTTAAAATTTTTTAATTTATATTGAGATAAATACAACAATGGATAATTAATCAAAATTCATCTTTAGATGATGTTCAACCAGTGGTGTTCATGCAATGGTTTATGGTTATATGGCAGAGGTCGAATGGTTGTCCAATGATGACTTATTTATAGATTTTTTTATAGGCATGCTTCATAAATATAGGCAAGATTTGAAATCGGATTGCCTATATTGATTCCTTTGATCAAAGATCGTTTTCTTAATATTTAAGTATCTTAATAATGCTATGTTATTTCTATGTGGAATATGATTATGTTGATCAATAAAGTTATACTATTAACTCAGACCACAATTTCATCGATCGAGCTTATCGAGCTCTTGCTTGGGGTTGGGGGCTTTGTCCCCGTTTTTTTTTTTTAGTAGAACCATATAGTGCTGCAACACTAAACATTATAGCACTATAACTTTGTACACTTTTGCACTGTAACATCATACGATGCAGCATAATTGTGCTGCAGTCTTGTTGCGTCCTGGAATATTCGCGGCGGTAGAGAAATATATAGTTTAACGTCTTAGCGTTGTACGAAGATCCAGCACACAATCAGATAAGTGAGAGGGTGTAGCGTTCATAAGAGACACCAAAGTTTTTACGTGGAAAACCCCTGAAAAAAGGGGGAAAAACCACGGGGCCTGGCCCGGTTTGAATGAATCCACTAGTATTTGTAGTCGATTACAAATGAGGCCCTTCCTTAGGAGAAGGCCTTGGATTGATGTAGCAAATGTACATCATATAGATTGCATTACATGGTAAGAGTTACATATACAGGTTTGTTTGGCCTGAAGGACCGTGGTCGGCAGGAGACCGGAGTCGGCAGGAGACCTGGGTCAGAAAGACCGTTGTCTGTTGATGGAGGTCGGAAGGACCATAGTAGGCGACAAAGGCCTGAAGAACTGTAGTCGGCAGGAGACCGTAGTCGGCAGGAGATCGTAGTCGGCCGGAGACCGTTGTCTGGTGATGGAGGTCGGTCGGACCGTATTAGGCGACAGTGGTCAGAAGGACCGTAGGCGGTAGGAGATAAGGAGTCAGGTGTTAGTCCCAGTGTCACTTGGAAGATCGGATGTTGATGGTCTGGCCTTGAGTAGGACGTCAGGTCTTAAGCAGGACGTCAGGTCTTCAGCAGGACGTCGGGACTTAACTTCGGGCCTTGAACAAGACGTCGGGTCTTTGGCAAGATGTAGGGACTGAGTGTCAGGCCTTGAACAAGACGTCGGGTCTTTGGCAAGATGTAGGGACTGAGTGTCGGGCCTTGAACAAGACGTCGGGTCTTTGGCAAGATGTAGGGACTGAGTGTCGGGCCTTGAACAAGACGTCGGGTCTTTGGCAGGAAGTAGGGACTGAGTGTCAGGCCTTGAACAAGACGTCGGGTCTTTGGCAGGAAGTAGGGACTGAGTGTCAGGCCTTGAACAAGACGTCGGGTCTTTGGCAGGAAGTAGGGACTGAGTGTCAGGCCTTGAACAAGACGTCACCCAGGGGATGGGGAAGCTCAAGGGGCTGAGGAGGAGGAGGCTCCCGCTCCTGTTCCTGAACCTAT